CATTGAGTTTAACATTCCACTTTATGTTAATTTCATTGACTTTAAGGCAGCGTTTGATTCCATCAGAAGAGAGTTTATTCGGTCAAGCATGAGACACTATGGACTTCCTGAGAAATATGTTAGAATCTTTCAGGCATTCTTCAACGGAACCATGAGTGCTGTCAGGGTTAATGGTGAAATGTCTGATTGGTTCTCTGTTAATTCGGGTACTGGACAGGGTGATATCCAGGGCCCTCCTGTATTTAATTTCTGTCTGAACTTTGGAATCTTTTTGGCCGAGGTTCACAAGGCAATCAGTCATGGTGCTGTACTGCAAAAGGAACTAAAGGGTGCAGATGAAAAGGTTATCATGAATAGTGACTACGCTGATGATCTGGCAGTGATGGACAATACTGAAGAAGGGCTGCAAGAGTCCACTGATCTTATAGCTTATTACACCTCTTATGCTGGGTTGAAGATCAACGCTAAAAAGACACAATGCATGGCGATCAGCAAGTGTGCGTCCCAGCGACCTTACACCGAAAGAGACAGTATAAAGCTAACAGTGGAGGGAGAACCTGTTGAACAGGTCAGCAACTTTGTTTATCTTGGTGCCAACATCAGTGGGGATGGTACCATTGACCGAGATCTTGACATCAGGATCCAGCGTGCTAATGGTGCATTCCATCAGCTTTGGAAGATATGGAACAGTCGAACTATAAGAACGCCCACCAAGATCCGTATCTACAAGGCTGCTGTTATTACTATTCTGTTATATGGAGCTGAAGTGTGGAACACAACAAAGAAGCAGATTAAACGGTTTGAGGTCTTCCATCTGACCTCCCTGAGAAGAATCTTGAAGATAAAGTGGTTCTTCCATGTCTCCAATGAAGAAGTTCTCAGGCGTGCTGGAATTAAGTCTATCGAAACTTTCATCGGTGCGGCTAGACTAAGGTGGTACGGACATGTTGTCAGAATGCCAGAGACGCGGTTCCCCAATTTCTTACTGGATTGGAAACCAAACTATGGAAAGAGACTGAGAGGACGACCCCGCAAAGGCTGGATGGCCTGTGTACTCGAGGATGCGGCTGAATTTACAGGTGTCGATAACATCAGCAGAGATGCAGTAAAACAGTTGGCTCTAAAGCGAGTGGAATGGAGGAACATGTTACGCCGTAGAAGAGATGTGTGTGATGCAGGCCACTCCAACGACTAGGAGGAGACCTCTTCATGTAGCATGTATGTATGTATGTATGTATGTATGTCAACGACATCTTTGACAACCAACATATCTCCACTATTGTCAACTTCGCAAAACATTTCACTTGCCACTTCATCTCCACATAGATAACCCCGGAAATCTTATACAGGGTTGTGATACCCCAAAGGCAGGCAGAGAATTCTCATTTTATCCTCTCGTGGGCCATTTAGGTACAGCCTCGTCCTTTCTTTCTCGAAACATATATCCTACTATTATATACTTCATTATAGTATTAAGATAAAGCAAATGTGAATATATTACTACGAAATAGATTTATACAAAACTGTCCATGATATTTACTAACCGTGTTAATGGTTTTAGATTTTGTATGTTGTAAGTATTTTAATGTGAAGCGTTTACTCTTCCCCCTCAGCAAGACAGTTAGATTAATGATAATAATTGCCAAATGACGTAGTAGACATAAATGTTCTATGTTGTAGAGCGATTTCAGGAGTAGTGGTCCACAGGGGTCCGAAAAAGCCGTACAGGCACTTGGGTCCTTATCCTTGTCACTAGTCTCAATTGGATTCAGTTTACACAAAACATGAACATTTACAACTTAGACGTACATGACATTGATACGATATTTATTAGATAGCAAAAAGTATAAAATAATACAATTGATGCGTGTAGGGGCTGGAGTACGCTTTGTTTATAGATTAATGAAATGTTGCATTGTCAATATTTAAAGTTGACGATGTATTATGATCTATTACTAAATTTTATAAAGCCGGCTTTGGACTTAGGTAAAATTACAATTAAAAAAAAAAACCACGGATAGCTTTAAATTTACGTTGTCGTATTCAAACTATAAACAAGTTAATCCTGTTTTCAAGAATGCGCGGCTTTGGCGGCCAGTTACTTACTTTGGTTACTTTGGTTGTGTTTATCCAGTTAATATTGACTTCTACATAAAATTGAATTTTAAATAGAAATGTGAATATATTTGATATTAAAATTTAAAACTTTCAAAAGGGAGGCTTATAAATATTATTATATTATGATTGTAAAATAAAGGATAAAATTTAAAATTTGTTTCAAAAAAAAATTCTGAAAAAAATAATTATTTTCACGGGACTACCGTTTTTTCTGCGAAAAAGTAAACATTTCTGGAAAATAGTTACGCGCGCGCGTAACAACTTATTTTACTGCTGCGCTAACTCAGCGACTAAACTTGACGGATGTTACTCGTCTAAATTTCTTCGAAGTAGCGCGCGCCGCTTTCTTCTCGTAATGGCCCGACGGCACGAGCTACGAAGTAGCGCGCGCCGGGCCAGATCATTAACAATGGTCAACGACTAAACACACAACGATTTTGACAATTTACAGATGATTAAACGATTGTTTGTAGGTTTACAACCTACCAGGATGCGCGCCGAGTTGGACTCGTCGGTCCAATATATGGAACAGATATTTTACGAGTATCACCCGTTAATGGTTAAACGATTGTGAGTTATGACGGACTTAACTGTATGGGTCAACTACTGAAACTGTATTGTTTACTATCTTATTCATTATATTCAATACTGGACTTGATTCACGATGTCAATCCTTCGCAGCTCGGTGAGGCACAGTGGTGCATCTCGCCGATCTACCGAAGTGGTTGCGAGAAGCATTATTTGATGCGCGCGCGACCCAGTAGTGCATCGCGCTACAAATACTGGACATGAGATGACGAAGTATCTTAAGCAGTACTTTATACCTCCACTTAGAACTTGATTAGTCATGAACAATAGAATCATCAAAAACCAATACAATAAAACTTCACATAGCCATGTGCCTACGCGTACTGCGTCGCGTGACGCGCTTGTTTCCGGCGGTCGCGCGCTACTGCAAGCGAGAGGGCTCTGGTTAGAGCAACAATAAAACATCTTGATCAATAAATGCCTAGCAGCACCAGACAGCGACCGTGTACCTTTTTCGACTCCACGAAGTCCCTGATGGACTTTTGTTAATGGATGATAATTAATCACTCTACACTCGACTGTCACGTGACTTTTTCAACCCATTCTCTAGATGGTCCTGAACGACTATTCGAAACCCTAACCCTCTTATCTGATCCCAACCCTAACCCTATCCTTAACAAAAGCATTTGATTCACGATGTCAATCCTTCGCAGCTCGGTGAGGCACAGTGGTGCATCTCGCCGATCTACCGGCGAGAAGCATTATTTGATGCGCGCGCGACCCAGTAGTGCATCGCGCTACAACAAAAGCATATGCTGAAACCCTAACCCTAACGAGAAATTAGACTAACTTCCTTATACGGTCATATCACGTGATCGAGACAGTTTTTCGCCTATATCTCGTCAGGGGAGAATTTTAACCCTATGTCATGGAGGGTGATTCGGAATCAGCTTCCGAAAATACATCGATTGAAGTTGGTTTCAACTGTCGGGGGCCCTTTTAGAACAATCTCGAAGATCGACTGTAGAGTGATTTAGTACTTGTAGCGCGATGCACTACTGGGTCGCGCGCGCATCAAATAATGCTATGCAGATCGGCGAGATGCGAAGGATTGACATCGTGAATCAAATTTAGTACGCTTGGATATATTTAGTGCATGAAATTTGAAATTGACCATTGTTAATGTCTGGCCTGGCACGCGCTACTTTGTAGCACTTGCCATCGGGCCAAGTGCTAATCGCTCCTACTAAATCGCTCGCCCAAATTTTAAGAAAATTCTTGTGAAAAGGTCCTTTGGGTATGAAATTGATCTGAATCGATGTATTTTTGGACGCTGATTCCGAATCACCCCCATGACATAGGGTAAAAATGCGTCCCTGGAGAGTTATGGGCAAAAACCGTTTTGGTCACGTGACAGGCTAGTAAAACATGAATTCGATTGTTTAGGGCTCGGGTTACGGTTAGGGTTGTAGTAAGGGTTATGGATAGCTTTGGGGTTATGGTTAGGGTTGGGATTAGGGTTTATGTAAAGCCGTTTTGTACGGCTGCAAAACCATAAAAACCAAAGTCACGTGAAATTTTTGGGCGAGCGAATTAGTAAGAGCCAGTGCTAATATTTCTAGAAGAAAGCGGCGCGCGCTATTTCGAAGAAATTTAGACGAGCAACATCCGTCAAGCATGAAAGGAATATTATTATATTATTATATGCAATTCACGGATAATAAGCATTTCTACTTGTTCGAAAAAGTGTGCAAAGCTTTGAAGTTTTTAATAATATAACTTACTAACGCGCGCAAAATTGCAAAACAATTAATTACCATGCATGGCACTTGATTCACGATGTCAATCCTTCGCAGCTCAGCGAGGCCCAGTGGTGCATCTCGCCGATCTACCGAAGTGGTTGCGAGAAGAATTATTTGATGCGCGGCGCGGCCCAGTAGTGCATCGCGCTACAAGCATGGCACCGACGATGTTAATATTGTTCTTGATTTGTGATTGACGATTTCAATCCTTCGCAGCTCGGCACAGAGAGTCGGGACAAAAGAAAATCGCGATTATTTTGCCCAAAAATCGCGATATTTTTAACAGACTATACATTAACATAAGACTATACATAAAATTTGTCGCAAATAATTGATAATGGGGAAAAATCGCGATTCCGCGATTTCCTGTTGTCGCTGGCTCGGCATGGTGCATCTTGTTAGAATCATTAGCGGCCATCTATTTATATTAGGAAGTCCGCCAAAATCGCAGATTATCAAACCACCCCCTGTCCGAATTTTCAAAACCACCCCCTCCCCCGGATGTCCAGCTACTTTTAAGAGAACAAATAAAATTTACTCAAATTCATTTTTCATAAATAATAAAATTCAAAGAGTTAAAATAAAATTCAAAGATTTGAAATAAATGGAACTTTTTTTGCTAAATTGCAAAAATTTTCGGACGTCCGGAGACTGGAGACGCGCGAAGGTTTCCATTGTAGGCATACAATTTAGGAGCGATTTAACAAAAGCCGCAGCCACGCACTTGTGCGTCGCAGACCACATGGCGTGGGGCAGGTGGTCCCCAGTAAATTTAATGTTTATGCTATTTACATTTTTGGTCAATGTTATTTACATTTTTGGTCACATTTTGATGAAAATAATAGAAAACAAATAAGAGAAAAATTAAGTCCATAGAGTTGAGCAATATGACTGTTTAAAGGTTTTGAAGTGCGTTTGGGACAGTGATAATGGATAACAGTATCAAATATATCACATATTATATTATCAATTATGCTGTTGACAAGTTGAATTTCTAATTTTCCTTTCCACACGCGGAGCACGTGGGGCAAATTAAAGAGATGGTTGTCTACAGCTATACTGTATTAATTTAGTATTTTAATGTAAACAAATTATTGTATTAAATATCAAATTGAAAAACTGATGTAATAAACCAAACAAAGCAAGTTAAGTAAAACCGAGAATCTCAGTAACATTTAATGAGAACTACTACACACTATATAGGCTCTTACTACTTTACTAATTTAGCGCACTGTATACGAACGTTTCTGGTATTTATAAATGTCAGGTGTAAATATATTTCATAGATTATATTTATGGTAAATTATGGCCTTCTTAGATTCAACTGGCCACGAAATGTTTCTCAAGTAAACTCACGATTTCAATACCCTGAGATTTCAAGTTCTGGTTCCCCTCCAAACTCACCTGATCCCTAACATGCAATAACACGTTCTTAACAATCTCAGTGCCCACAACTACTCCTTCAGTTTTACAGGAGTTGAAGATAAGAGCGGTCAGTTTCAGCGCCAGGCTTCTCACAGAGGTGTGTTTAGTGTCGTCCACACATCTCAGCACACCCGGTATTGCTGCCTGGTACACACTCCTCCTCAGCTCCTCCGTGGAGTGTTCTTGGCTCGTGTCCAATGTTTGCAGCACGTGTTGAAGCGAGCACAGCATTGTTATCTGTATCTTCCACGTGCAGATCCTCATGTTCCCAGCCAGGAACTCGCACAGCTCCACAATCTTATCGGACTTGTTTTGGCAGACCCTCCATCCCACGCCCAACAGTAACACAGCTGACTCCTGAGGAAGGCTCTGTATGGTGAAGGTCTCCGTCTTCTTCCTCTTCTCCTTCTTCTCCTCCCCCTCCTCCTCCTCATCCTCTGGGAGAGGTATCAAGTAAGCAGAGCATATTTCCCACACCTCCTTCCAACAGTCAGTCACCTCCACCCCTAACAACACGTCCCCCAGAGACCGCATCACCTGACTCACGTACTCGCTGTCCTTCTTCCTGCACTCCCTCAGGAACACTGACACCACTTTCTCTTCCTCCACCCCCAGATCCGAGACTTTGCTCCGTTTAGGGGAGGTAAGAGTCTTGGCCAGAGCAGACAAGATGGCTGATTTACCGGGGAATGTTCTGGCAGCAGTAGCAGCGAGCAGCAGGTCCACATTAGGAGGGATCTGTAGAGGAGGATAACTGGGACCCAGGACGGTAGCTACAGTTCCCAGAGTATCAGCAGCTTGTATCCTGTTAGTCCAGCTGGTGGACTGTAGTGAGAGGGAACAAAGAGAGGAGATATCAGAGAGGTAGAGGAGGATAACAGACTGATCACTGACTCCTAGCTCCAACCAAACCATCTCCCACTGTGCTCTCTCCGTCTCCTCCTTACTGTGCTTACCAAACAGTGTTATCGGCACTACAGCACTGTGCACTGTTCTCAAAACGTCCGGAGCAGTGTTCGTTATCTTGTTCATCACCATGGCAACCAGCTGTCTTACAGTGTCATCTTTCTCCAGATACCAGCCACGGAGCTTATCCAATACGTTATCTACTGTACTGGGCTTAGCGTACCTGAAGTTTTGCGGATAAAATACTCAGGAGTAACAACAACAAGTTGCAAAGCTGTGACGATATTCCAGATTAAAAGAAGATCAGAATCCCCACTTACTGAATTATATAATAAATCATAAATCAAATCAAAATATAATGACACAAACATCATCACACATCATCAAAAATATATCTACTAAAGTTTTAAAAATATCTTAAATCTATTGGCCTAAACAACCAAGATAATATATAAACAAAAGCTCTAAGAAACAGATAGTAAACAAAGTAAACATTTCTGTCCCCTAATCTTTCTCAAACAAAAGTCATGCAATTTGCATACTTCTCCATTTAACTCTATTCTGAGCAATTAACGTTAAATAGTTCAAATCACATAAATTATTTAACGATAATTTTCGGACACTAAGGTCGTGTAGAATCAGTGAGAAAAGGTTTGACTGCGGTCTTCCACGCCGCCCTTGAAGCTGTAAGGTGTTGACAGCAAAAACAAGCGACGAATAGGCAGGGCCATCTGTAGGCCCACGCAGTACATGTCCGAGCATCCTCCACCGACTACGAGCCACTTTAGCTGACAATGGTTCGCTATTGCAGCGTTTATACAAGTTCTTGTTGGAGATGATGTGAGGGTATTTGTAATTCAAAATTGATCGCAGATGACGTCTGTGAGCGATATCTAGTTTTTCCAATACTGATTTAGGGGCAGCCCAGCAAGATGAATTGTACATTAAAACGGATACTACCAGAGCCTCATACAACAGAAGCCTCTTACTCAGAGGGATCTTATGGTTCCAAGCTTTCTTGTATTTGTTAAACGCGGCATATCCCAGACATATCCTTCTAGAGATGTCCTCCTTACTACAAAGCATGGAGCCAAGCGTGATACTCTTTCTCCAGAGCTCGTTCCCTGCAATTGGCTTACCCTGATCGTCTTTAGCTCCCTTTTCAGCTAAGTACACATGAGTGAAATCAGTTTTGTCTTCGTTAACGAAGAGATTCCAATCTTTAAGGACTTCTGTTGCAATAGGCAACAGCTCCCTCAGATTGTCTTCATCTTCATCATTGAAGTCGATATCATCAGCATACTCACTGTCAAGTGGAAGACCAATATCGGTGATAGGTGGGTTAGGCCTATTCGTTGCAGTTTCAAGCCTGTTACGGAGGTCACGCAAGGCACCTGCTAAGACAAGTGTGAACAAGCATCCAGACAGACAGTCACCTTGGAATGCACCGAGAAAACTCTGGAATTCAGCAGACAGTGTACCGTTGATGTTGACTTTGAGCTTGGTGTTGGAAAGCAAAAGTCTTACCAAACGGACTTCGTCATCATCACAGCCACACTCAACAAGAAGATCGAGGATGGTAGATCGTCGTATAGTGTCAAAGGCACTAGACATGTCGATCCCCATGCGATGGTATTCCCACCTCTTCCTCTGGACAACTGATAACATCACACGCTGGCACCATACAATGTCAGCACATGATCTACCCTGCTTGTAAGCACATTGCCATGGACCAGTGAAGGCATTGACTTTATTCTCAATTCTCTTCAAGGTTGCCATTGAAAGAATCTTTCTAACAGCATTTGAGAGAGTGAGGGGTCGTAGATTCTTCACTGGACCAATGGGCTTATTTGGCTTCTGTAAGGGGGTAATGTTTGCCTGTCCAATGGGGTCAAGGTAGGAATTGGTCTCGAAGCTTCTATTGATAATGTCTGCAAAACGTCTGTGTACTAATCCAGTGGAATACTTGAGAAGCTCATTAGGAATCCCATCAGGGCCGTTAGCTCGACCATTTTTGAGACTTCTAGCAGCTGATCCGATTTCTTCACTAGTGAATGGCTTTACTAGTGGGCGAGGAGGTCCTACAAAAGGTTCTAAAGGTGCTTCATCACGAGTAAGTTGTTGCTCAAGGTACTTAGCAACTACGGCAGCTTTACCAGTGTCTGTTGCAATATTGCACCCTTGTTCATCATGAACACCAATACTAGAAGGGGCTTTACTTTTAGGTAAGTTCAGGGTTCGAACAGCTTCAAACATTTTCTTACTATCTGTTGTTGAACTGATGGTATTACAGATAGCATCAGCAGCAGCTGATCGTATGTTAGAAAGTCTCTGTTTGATCTGATTGGTGAGGCAGTTAATAGATGATCTAAGCGAGGTTCTGTCTAAAGACTGGTTATCATTAAGCTGCTGTCTCAACAAGTAACGCTGGCTAGATAAGTTTTTCACCTCATCATCGTCGCTGCGATTACGTTTCCTGTGTCTGATGACACCAATTGACGATTTTGCAGCATCCTTTATGGACTCAAGTAAGCCATTCAAGTCTGAATTTGGATCCAGAGCAGAAACAGTGTTACTTAAGTTATCATCTAAGGATTGACGATATTTCACCTGAATGGTGGGGTTCGAGGTGAGTTCAGAGGTGTTGAACTTTAAGGATGACTTGGAGTGGCGTTTATAGCAAAGACAGATGTCCTTAAAATCTACTCTAGTGACAACAAATCTGTGATCAGAGTATGTCAAGGTGCCTGCATAAGATCTAGAATCTTGTAGCATTGGCTTCGACCTACTTCGACACAGGATGAAATCGATCTGAGAATAGACCGGGATCGTCTTTTTACTATTTCGCCCGGCACTCCAGTCCTTCCTCCAGCCAGTGTAGGTGGTCGTATGTCGGGCAGGATGATGAAAACCAGTGTTGGAGGCAAAGAGGTCAAATTCTGATAACAAGTCTAACAAGTTTTCTCCCATATCATTGCGCAAACCCATACCATGTTTACCCATGAAACGACCAAAACCAAAGTCCTTATCTGAAGCAGTCATTTTTCCCAACTTTGAATTAAAATCTCCCAAAACAAATATCTCAACATTAGCAGGGACATTTAGAGCGTCCCTAACTTGGCCGTAAAAATTAATCAACAGTTGTTGATCATTTTCTGCAAGTTTCTTGTGTGGCCCATATACATTGACCACCCTACATTTGATAAATTTTCCAGATTTTGTAGGGAGTTCTAGGTCCAAAAAGCTTACTCGATCACTGATACTGTTCCAGCATACCACATAGTCAATAAATCGGGGACTGATAACAAAACCGAGTCCATAGTGCCGGCCATTTTTCTGCTCAAACAATAATAGTTTGTATCCGTTGCTAAGACTGCAAGAATCCGGTTTTACAACCTTAGTCTCCTGAATAGCGCAGATATCTATGCCGTACCGTAGACAATCGGTACCCAGTTGCTCCCGTTTGCTGTGGATGTCGTCTGGATCATCACAAGAACCGAGGCCACGTATGTTAAAGGTTGCGAAGCTGATGAGGAGTGTAGCAAACAGGGATCGTCCTGCAGCTGAGGTAAACATTACGGAGGGCGATGTTGTCGTCTCTCCGCCGCTGGCGTTACCCATACGGTCCATCTGATGGTAAAATGAATCTAATTTACATACTTTCCACTACTATATAAGTTAATAAAGCGTTTCTTAGCAACATGAGGATGACACACAAGATATTCATTGTGCTTCTCTTTATTAGTAGCATAATTTAATCCCTCAATCTTTCCTAATAATTCGTCCAAAACATACCGAAAATGAATATCATTTACAGATCCGGTTAAAATAGTCTCTTTTTTGAAAGCCTCTAATCTTATTTTAAAACTTAACACAGTCCCACAATTCTTGACATCCGAGGGGAGTTTGTTCCAATATGGTCTCACCCTCTCCGGAAGAAAAGAACTGTGGACTTTCTTCATTTTACTGCTACTTTTACTGCATCTACTGTTTGATACCACATTAAGACCAGATCTGCTCATACTGAACAAACCAGCTCCGTAATTGGCCAAACCACTTATCATTTTAAAAGATTCAATGAGGTCCCCACGTATTCGCCGCTCTGCCAGCGTTGTCAAATTGAGGATTTCCAGTCGACGACTGTATGGAAGAGTACCCACCTCGTCAATCAGACGGGTAAACCGCCTCTGGACGCTCTCCAGCTCCAAGATGATCCCCCAACTTCCATGAGCCGCAACTGGACTCCACAATTGAACACAATACTCTAAATGGGGTCTTATTAAAGCTTTGTAAATGGATATCATCACAGATTTTTCCCTGATAATCAGATTTCTAACAATCCAACATATCATTCTGTTGGCTTTAGATATTGAAGCCTTAATCTGTTCATTCCAAAGCAGAGAGTTATGGGTTATAACTCCCAAGTCTTTTTCCTGTACAGATTCTGCCAATGTAACTCCATTAAGAGAATAACTTGATCTTGGGTTATCGTTAACATCTAAATGCATTACTGAACACTTAGTAGGATTAAACTTTAAAAGCCATTTACTCTCCCACATCTCTAGTTCGTTCAGATCATTAGCTATAGTTTCATGCTCGGAGGCATTAGCTATAAGCTTAAGATCATCAGCAAATATTTTAACTTTACTTTTAATGTTATCTGGTAAATCATTAATAAATAACACAAATAGTAATGGTCCAAGGACTGATCCCTGGGGAACTCCTGACCATACAATCTTCCACTCTGAAGTTTCACCTTCTACACACACTCTCATATTTCTATTTGAGATAAAATCTGTAATTACATCTAGAACTTTACCAGTTATCCCTAGACTCTCTAGCTTGTTAATCAAGCGATAATGGGGAACAGAATCGAAAGCTTTACTAAAATCAAAATAAAATAAGTCCACAGGAGCACCTTCATCTATTAAATTAAGTATAGTGTCGAAAGTCTCCAAAAGATTTGACAAACAAGATTTTCCTTTATATAATAATAATATAAAATACAGATAATATTATTACTAATAATAACCGTATCAGTAGAAAGTAAGTAGTGTTTAAAAGATACAGATAATATTATTATTAATAATAACCGTATCAGTAGAAAGTAAGTAGTGTTTAAAATACAGATAATATTATTATTAATAATAACCGTATCAGTAGAAAGTAAGTAGTGTTATTAATAATAACCGTATCAGTAGAAAGTAAGTAGTGTTATTAATAATAACCGTATCAGTAGAAAGTAAGTAGTGTTTAAAATACAGATAATATTATTATTAATAATAACCGTATCAGTAGAAAGTAAGTAGTGTTATTAATAATAACCGTATCAGTAGAAAGTAAGTAGTGTTATTAATAATAACCGTATCAGTAGAAAGTAAGTAGTGTTATTAATAATAACCGTATCAGTAGAAAGTAAGTAGTGTTTAAAATACAGATAATATTATTACTAATAATAACCGTATCAGTAGAAAGTAAGTAGTGTTTAAAAGATACAGATAATATTATTATTAATAATAACCGTATCAGTAGAAAGTAAGTAGTGTTTAAAATACAGATAATATTATTATTAATAATAACCGTATCAGTAGAAAGTAAGTAGTGTTATTAATAATAACCGTATCAGTAGAAAGTAAGTAGTGTTATTAATAATAACCGTATCAGTAGAAAGTAAGTAGTGTTTAAAATACAGATAATATTATTATTAATAATAACCGTATCAGTAGAAAGTAAGTAGTGTTATTAATAATAACCGTATCAGTAGAAAGTAAGTAGTGTTATTAATAATAACCGTATCAGTAGAAAGTAAGTAGTGTTTAAAATACAGATAATATTATTATTAATAATAACCGTATCAGTAGAAAGTAAGTAGTGTTATTAATAATAACCGTATCAGTAGAAAGTAAGTAGTGTTATTAATAATAACCGTATCAGTAGAAAGTAAGTAGTGTTTAAAATACAGATAATATTATTATTAATAATAACCGTATCAGTAGAAAGTAAGTAGTGTTATTAATAATAACCGTATCAGTAGAAAGTAAGTAGTGTTATTAATAATAACCGTATCAGTAGAAAGTAAGTAGTGTTATTAATAATAACCGTATCAGTAGAAAGTAAGTAGTGTTTAAAATACAGATAATATTATTATTAATAATAACCGTATCAGTAGAAAGTAAGTAGTGTTTAAAATACAGATAATATTATTATTAATAATAACCGTATCAGTAGAAAGTAAGTAGTGTTATTAATAATAACCGTATCAGTAGAAAGTAAGTAGTGTTATTAATAATAACCGTATCAGTAGAAAGTAAGTAGTGTTTAAAATACAGATAATATTATTATTAATAATAACCGTATCAGTAGAAAGTAAGTAGTGTTATTAATAATAACCGTATCAGTAGAAAGTAAGTAGTGTTTAAAAGATATTATTATTAATAATAACCGTATCAGTAGAAAGTAAGTAGTGTTTAAAAGATATTATTATTAATAATAACCGTATCAGTAGAAAGTAAGTAGTGTTTAAAAGATTCCCGCCTCCTGATGTACTCACCTAATAAGAACAGCGACAGTAGCAGCACATTTATCTCTGACGGCAGGACTTCTGTCCAGCAAAACAGTAAACATCGCCCCCATCAGCTTGCCAACCCACTTAGTCAGGTCCTGTAGTCAATGTTCAAGTTAAGCTGGATTTTAGTTTTAAAACTCAGAAATTTGACTGTTTGCTCCGTATTAAAGTTGATCATCATGTTGGAAAGAAGGGATCTTGACAATAATTAAACTTGCACGAGATGCACTACTACTTACTATCAAATAATGCTTCTCTATTCTCTGATGATAAGCATTATTTGATGCGCGGCGCTACCCAGTAGTGCCTGATGCAGCCCAGCAGTGCGCGGCCCAGTTGTGCGCGGCCCAGTAGTGCATGGCCCATTAGTGCGCGGCGCTACCCAGTAGTGCCTGATGCAGCCCAGTAGCCCGCGGCACGGCCCACTAGTGCATGGCCCAGTAGTGATGCCGCTACTGACCTGTTGTTTGTAGACAGCTAGGAGGGACACAGTATGGAGTAATGTTATTCTGGGAGTGAGCCCGACAGTGCTCTTAGCGAGGGAGGACACAGTGGGGACCAGTATTTCCAGTTGTGAATCGTCAGCACACCTTATACATTTATCTATAACAGCGACTAGGGGCGAGCTGATCGCTAATGCTGCACGTGCAGCTTCCAGCTTATCTTTATCCTCCGTACTCCCCGACACCTGAAAACGTGTAACTATACAGAATACCTTTGCTAAAAACTGAACATGAAAGATTCTGTTACTAAATACTATAATTATGTTATGTTACTATCGTATAATATAGTAAAGTAGTTATAAGTATATAATATAATAATACAATAGACTACTTACCATAGTGGTTACTTGACCAAAAGCTTTGGGTTCAATGTTTGCAGAGGCAGCAATAAACGCGGGTATGATCACATGTACATGAGGGGAGAGCAGTTTTCCTGCATTCTCACTTATCTTCATTACAGTTACTATGGCAATTGTCTGCAATTCTACCAAAGAGGAGGTGATCCCGTTGTCAAGTAGAATAGGAAGGATGGTGGATATTGCACGTGCACCGCGCGCACCGTGCTCAATTTTACACACAGACACGCTAGCTTTACTCAGTACCTCTGCAAATAGTTAGTGTGTATTGTGTCAGTGTAACTGTCAGCAAAACATTTATAAGCGAGCTAAAGTGGAAGGTAAAATTGTTCTCTGTTGTCAGGCAGTGGCGTAACGTTACCATGGTTACTGTTGCCAGGGCTGGGGTTACCTGCAGTTTTAGCGGCACTCTTTCTGACGCTATCTTTGATATCGTCCATTAGTTTTAGAACAAGAAGCCAGAACTCTGGCATCTCAGATAATATCACATCATCGTGTGTTCTGGTTCTTACTAAGTCACCTGCAAAGGAAGAAGTTACCATGGTTACATAATGAGAGGGAATCCTTTAGACGCCACCCTGTGACGTAGCCTCGATGGAAGTAGTGCTCTAATAAAGTAATATTACCTAGAGCATTAGAACAAGATTCTCTAGTTCTCCACATGCGACTGTGAATATTAGTCTTCAGATCTGCTATTATCTCTTTCAGGTACTTGTCTACTGTCTCCTTTGGTTTAGACACCATTACACTCCAGATATTACTCATCGACTGCTGCACTTTCAGATTGGGGTCGTACTGGTACCTGGTATAAGATAACTGATAGTTGCTAATTAACCTTATAGTTAATAAGTAACTTATAGTTGCTAAGTAACTTTATAGTTGCTAAGTAACTTTATAGTTGCTAAGTAACCTTATAGTTGCTAATTAACCTTATAGTTAATAAGTAACTTATAGTTGCTAAGTAACTTTATAGTTGCTAAGTAACTTTATAGTTGCTAAGTAACCTTATAGTTGCTAAGTAACCTTATAGTTACTAAGTAACTTTATAGTTGCTAAGTAACCTTATAGTTGCTCAGTATCGTATAGTTGCTAAGTAACCTAATAGTTGCTAAGTAACCTGTATATCCTAGGTATGATATTAGCGAGATAAGGTTCCAACTCCTTCCCAGCACACTTCACCAGGTTTCCCACTCCAAACGCCGCTCCAATTCTATCACTCCATATACTGCTGTGATTAGACAGGTGCATAAACTGGAGGGAGTCACGTGTTAGGGGAGTCACGTGTTAGGGGAGTCACGTGTTAGGAGAGTCACGTGTTAGGGGAGTCACGTGTTAAGGGAGTCACGTGTTAAGGGAGTCACGTGTTAAGAAAGTCACGTGTTAAGGGAGTCACGCGTTAGGGGAGTCACGTGTTAGGGGAGTCACGTGTTAGGAGAGTCACGTGTTAAGAAAGTCACGTGTTAAGGGAGTCACGTGTTAAGGGAGTCACGCGTTAGGGGAGTCACGTGTTAGGGGAGTCACGCGTTAGGGGAGTCACGTGTTAGGGGAGTCACGTGTTAGGGGAGTCACGTGTTAAGGGAGTCACGTGTTAGGAGTCACGTGTTAAGGGAGTCACGTGTTAGGAGAGTCACGTGTTAGGAGAGTCACGTGTTAGGAGAGTCACGTGTTAAGGGAGTCACGTGTTAAGGGAGTCACGTGTTAAGGGAGTCACGTGTTAAGGGAGTCACGTGTTAGGGGAGCCACGTGTTAGGGGAATTTTGTTTAAATGAATTTTATCCAATTCAATATTTAAACTTGGTGCCAGAAACATTAAATTCTGCAACAGCAGGAACTTTAATAAGTTAATAGCCCAAAACATCTGTCTAGTAGCTAAACTTTATACTTTTATAGGTTCTTAGGAACTAACCTAGTATATCATCTCTGGTTGTCATAGGAACTAACCTGGTATATCTTCTCGTGTTGTCATAGGAACTAACCTGGTATATCATCTCTTGTTGTCATAGGAACTAACCTGGTATATCATCTCTGGTTGTCATAGGAACTAACCTAGTATATCATCTCTTGTTGTCATAGGAACTAACCTAGTATATCATCTCTGGTTGTCATAGGAACTAACCTAGTATATCATCTCTGGTTGTCATAGGAACTAACCTGGTATATCATCTCGTGTTGTCATAGGAACTAACCTGGTATATCATCTCTTGTTGTCATAGGAACTAACCTGGTATATCATCTCTGGTTGTCATAGGAACTAACCTAGTATATCATCTCTTGTTGTCATAGGAACTAACCTAGTATATCATCTCTGGTTGTCATAGGAACTAACCTGGTATATCATCTCTGGTTGTCATAGGAACTAACCTAGTATATCATCTCGTGTTGTCATAGGAACTAACCTGGTATATCATCTCTGGTTGTCATAGGAACTAACCTGGTATATCATCTCTGGTTGTCATAGGAACTAACCTAGTATATCATCTCTTGTTGTCATAGGAACTAACCTAGTATATCATCTTTGGTTGTCATAGGAACTAACCTGGTATATCATCTCTGGTTGTCATATGAACTAACCTAGTATATCATCTCTGGTTGTCATAGGAACTAACCTGGTATATCTTCTCGTGTTGTCATAGGAACTAACCTGGTATATCATCTCTTGTTGTCATAGGAACTAACCTGGTATATCATCTCTGGTTGTCATAGGAACTAACCTGGTATATCATCTCTGGTTGTCATAGGAACTAACCTAGTATATCATCTCTTGTTGTCATAGGAACTAACCTAGTATATCATCTTTGGTTGTCATAGGAACTAACCTGGTATATCATCTCTGGTTGTCATAGGAACTAACCTAGTATATCATCTCTGGTTGTCATAGGAACTAACCTGGTATATCTTCTCGTGTTGTCATAGGAACTAACCTGGTATATCATCTCTTGTTGTCATAGGAACTAACCTGGTATATCATCTCTGGTTGTCATAGGAACTAACCTGGTATATCATCTCGTGTTGTCATAGGAACTAACCTGGTATATCATCTCTTGTTGTCATAGGAACTCAATGAAACGAAAAGTTTTCAATGAAACGAAAAGTTTTATTTTACATTCCTTTAATCATAAATAAAATAAGAGCTTAAACCACGAATTAGTTAGCTAGAAGTAAACTTGAGGAAATATTTTTGGTGATTGTATATAATTATTTAAAAAACTTTATTTGGTTGTTAGTATTTTAATTATGGTAAGTGGTTGAATTTAGTGAGACAAGGTCAGTTTCTCTATCATCTTAGAAAAATTTCTACTTTACAGTAGGCAATGCTGAGTGGCAGGAATGAGGGACCAAAACGCTTGGGGCTAACAATGGCCCATTTACAAACCACTTCAGACATGGCAATGATGTCATTTATGCTTAATTCGTCTGAAACTGACCCTACTGCACTTGTAACATTCTATAAAAATCTCTTCTAAAATAGGTATAAAAATGCATAACACAAAACACACAAACAAAATGTTTATAATCCTTTTATAATAAATTTCTATAGAACTTTTAAATTTCTATAAAACTAATAAACCTATGTATATATTCATTTTGCACCCAGAGCAAGATGTGATCACAGAGGTAGTTTCGATATTATGTTCATGACAAGGTATGGGGCTGCTGCAAGTTATATTTTGCTAAGATATTACCGCTTTTTCAAGCTTAAGTAATCTAGGCAAGGTCAATTTTAAAGTTTTTGAATTTTGTCGAACGCTGTTTAAGGCTAAGTTCCAGTCATTTGGTTCTCCTTCCTTTTGAGTGTGAGTGATGGTGATTCTTATGGATGATTTGAGGTGATTGGGCTTATAACAGGTGAATGTAGTTAGCATGAGATTTTGTCGTACTGTATTCCATATTGTCCCTGCTCTGTATATGTAGCTGTCTGATGGTTTAGGTGTGAGAATGAGGGTCTCTTTGCCAAGTCTGCCAGATGTTTCAAAGAGGGAGTATAGTGATATAGGGGTTCTATATTTCAAGACCTTGAAGATGTCATTAATACAATGGTAGAAGTACAGATTATGCACATTCATGATTTCATGAGTGTTGAAGAGGGGTTTTGTATGCTCCTTTCTGTAGAATTCCTTGCCCAAGATTTGCTCCCCGTAGGGTCTGCATCGTGCACTAGTTTTAAATTTATCCAAGTATGCTTCTTTATCTCCAAACATTATGCGGGCACACATTTTCTGTGCTTTGAACAGAGGTTCAAGTTTTTTGTTAGATGCCCCTCCCCAGACAGTTATACCATATGCAAGATAGCTTTCAAATAGAGTATATATAACCTGGTATATCATCTCTGGTTGTCATAGGAACTAACCTGGTATATCATCTCGTGTTGTCATAGGAACTAACCTGGTAAATCATCTCTGGTTGTCATAGGAACTAACCTAGTATATCATCTCTTGTTGTCATAGGAACTAACCTAGTATATCATCTCTGGTTGTCATAGGAACTAACCTGGTATATCATCTCTGGTTGTCATAGGAACTAACCTGGTATATCATCTCTGGTTGTCATAGGAACTAACCTGGTATATCATCTCTTGTTGTCATAGGAACTAACCTGGTATATCATCTCTGGTTGCCCCATGTCACTGGCCAGGGAACACAGCTCCTTGTAAGTTGTCAGATTACCTCCCCCTAGAGAACTTGGTAGTTTTCCAAGATCCTCAGTGGAGAATATCTTGGTATCCTGAATATATTACACATACATTACAGTGAGAATATCTTGGTGTCTTGAATATATTACACATACATTACAGTGAGAATATCTTGGTGTCTTGAATATATTACACATACATTACAGTGAGAATATCTTGGTATCCTGAATATATTATACATACATTACAGTGAGAATATATTCACACCTTAATTAAATGCGTAAAACTTAGTAATACAGATTGTGTTATACTAGCTAATTATTTGTTGTTCTTCCTCAGGCACAAGTAAGTATGGGTAACTACAAGTAAGTATAGGTAACTACAAGTAATTATAGGTAACTACAAGTAAAGTTCAAGGATTATCTCGAGTTCGGCTGCTTAAAATTGGCCCAAAATCTCACCGATTATCCGTGTCCTGGCCATACAGCGATGTGAAAAGTTTGAAGAAAGTGGGACTTTTGAGTCTCGAGATATGCGCCTTTGTGACCCCCAAAATTGCCCCTTTGGATAAGGTTTCCTGTGTTTGCAAGAATATCTTGAGTTCGGCTGCTTAAAATTGGCCGAAAATTTCACCGATTATCCGTCTTCTGGCCATACAAATGTGTGAAAAGTTTGAGTAAAGTGCGATTTGTAAGTCTCGAGATATGGGCCTGCGATATTGGCCTGAGATAGGGTTTTCGGGTTTTCAAGGGATATCTCGAGTTCGGCTGCTTAAAATTTGCCCAAAATTTAACCGATTATCCGTCTCTTGGCCATACAACTGCGTGAAAAGTTTGAAGAAAGTGTGATCTTTAAGTCTCGAGATATGGGCCTGCGATACTGGCCTGGGATAGGGTTTTTCGGGTTTTCAAGGGATATCTCAAGTTCGGCTGCTTAAAATTTGCCCAAAATCTCACCGATTATCCGTGTCCTGGCCATACATCGATGTGAAAAGTTTGAAAGTAGCTTACAAGCCGTTGTATAACAAGAACGGCCCACTTACAGTCCACAACCTTGTACAAAACACATGTCTATTAGAACTGTTCAAAATTGCTCAGACAGATTACAATCTCCAATCTCATCCTATCTTCTACTCCACAGATCACCATCACAAAGACGTTCAGACCAGTTATCACCCGAACCCATCCTCCTCTTTCATTTATCCAATCAACAAAAAAGTGGACGACCAGTCGAAAAATTGAACAGTTGATAAGCTTTACTAACGTTAACGACTTAGTTAAAAGTAACACTGAAAACGAGAGCTACTCAAGATTACAGTCAAGTTTACGAGAATTAGACAAGGACAGACGAACAATAAAATGTCGTATCAATTAACACTTTATAAGAAATGATTGTACAGAGCACTTGTTCCCCTTCTCTAAGCGACTATACCGTGTGATTTTACTGAACCAGACTTGAGGTTTCTCAGTTCTCCTAATCTCTTGGTAGTATAACTATGGTAACTAGTAGTGTAACTACGGTAACTAGTAGTGTAACTATGGTAACTAGTATAAATATAGCCTCTTATCTACTGTCCCCTGTGATAAGGTAAATCAGCTTCTGCACCTAGTTTAAACCACAAACAACACTATTGTTTTTAGCAAATACCTTTAATATCACATAATGCCAGCCTAATCGTCCCAATGACCTACATGTGCAGTCTTTAAAGCTTGAATAATATGCATTATTATACGTTGCCATTAGGTGGCACAACTCTCTTAGCTGGCTTCGTATTGCCGGCAACTGTTCACATAACTCAGTGATATTATTACTGCTGTCTAGTTGCAATAGCGTGTGTTCTTACTCACATGTTAGTCAAGTATAACTACTACTCTTTATTTATTTTATAATTGAAAGATTGATTACTTTTTTGAATATCAGAAACTAAGATTTTTGAAGATTTTTGACCGGTTTTCTGCACACATATATGAGTATGATTTTTAAAAAGCATTTTTTGTTGCAAACTCCATTTGTACCCTGCACCATAAGTAATTCATTCGTTTGATCTTTTGTTCATGTACACGGGAGCCTAGCCTCGGGGCTACAACCACGTGACTACCACGTGGGCTACAATGTTAACCACGTGTGAGCTAACTCCCAGGGTACATCATGCTGTGATTTTACAAATTACCCGCCAAAGTCATTCCAACTTTACAAGGGACCGTCAGGACTCAGGCCCATTAATCGTATAATGAAGCAGTCCCTGATAAAGTAGCTGACATAAATTGTAAATTGTTCAGACTATAATAATGTCATTTGTTAGATTGCTTGCTAAAATGGTCCTTTGACAAAGTTCCTCAAGCGAAGTAGTCAGACAATGAATGATTGGAACATACCACGTGACTAGTGAAGCCCACTCATTCTGCCGAGAAAATGATTGACAATTATACCCTCTAATGGGAGAGAGGCTGCACGGTAGTTCTCGTGGGTTTAATAGTGAGAGAGATGCTTTATAAGGATCAGTTATTTGGGCTCCGCCTCAACAGAATTACTAGTTGGGTGACAAATGTTGGGATGAATATTAAAATTAAAACTACAAGAAAGTTCAACTTTGATAGTTCAATCATTTATCATGACCACTCAGACCAGACTAAAAATATTTTATTGCGAACCTAATAGTCTTCGCTGACGTTTTGTTTTTTAACGATACTGAAAACTAAAGTAAAAATCTTAAAGTTATAAATAAAACTATTTTTGTAGAATAACTAAAACGAAAGATATGTAACCCGGTATAGTGTCTTTAACATTGTCAGTGCAGTTGAGACCTGCGAGTTTGCCGTGAGTCATACATTTTTATCTGCTTCTTATTTGAACCGAATTTTTACAACAAATATCTTGTGATGATTTTAAAAAACCATTCTCAACTTTAAAATGGTAATTATAATTAAACACCCCATAATTATCCTGTTATCAGCCTTTGCGTTTGGTCTTGAGATTAATGAATTACAGTCATTAAGGCTCAAAAGAACTTAAGGCCGGAAAATTTGACCTTTCCTAAATGGAAGCTAATTTCTGCCGCACGTTTTTGCAGAATCATCAAACTTTCAGCCAATATAACTCGAGTTTATAAAAACGTGTTAGATTTTGAATTTATTACGTTGTCACCATGAATTGAAGTTCTTACTTTATTTGATCCAGTGTGCTGAGCGTGAAAATTCAATATTTGGCTAAATTACATGGAATGAGGAAGGATTTAGCCTTTAGGTCACATAGCAATAAGAGAACAGTAAAACTTTACATCCCAAAACTCAAAGTAAAAGGCCGATTTGTTAAATTCAAATTAGCGTTATCTCTGATATCTTATTTTAAAGATACTCGTGATGGTGTTATTTGGCGTCAGCACCTTGCAGCTTACCACCAAATTCAAACCCATGAGCAAATTAATACACCATCGTCCTAATCTCTCAAAATAACATATCAGAGATAAAACTAATTTCAAATGAACTTTAAATTTGAAGTTAATATTGGAAGGCATAGAAAACTTTGATAAAACTCTATTTTTGCTTTTTTTAACTTGATTAAATACCTTGGCTGCTGAAAATTTGCCTGACAAGCATTTCATATCAAACGTTTTGTTTCTTCAGACAACCCAGTATATTCTATATATGCTGCATATTTTCAGATAAACTGGTATATATTCTGGGTCGACACTAGGCCTGGCCATGAACAACTCCATTATTGTGTTGGGATGGAACATAACGGTAACCATGGTAACGGAGACTTTCCTGCTTTCCAAGCAATCAACGGCGCTTTGAGTTTAAACGTGAGTTATAAAATATTTCCTTGTGTTTGAGTAATGTTATAAAATATTGCCTTGTGTTTTAGCAATGTTATAAAGCATTTTCTTGTGTTTAGTTTTGTCATAAAACATTTCCATGCGTTTGAATAATGTTATAAAACATTTCCTTGTGTTTGAGAAATGTTATAAAACACTTCATTGTGTTTGACTATTGTGATCAATATCCATCATGTGAAAACGGCCGAGTGAAGGTTCGTGTTTATTTGTAGTTTCAGACTGTCACTTTTATAACTCCCTAGCACCCAGAGGAGGCCACAAACCGAGTGAAGGCTCGTGTTTATTTGACTGTCACTTTTCTAACTCCCTAGAACCCAGAGGAGGCCACAAACCGAGAGGAGGACGACCTGCTCTGTCAGTTTATAGCTCTCCGACTGATCCACATAGCAGCACAGATAGACAGAAACCTGGAGAGGAGAGCGAGAAGGGAGCGGGCAGATACCAGGGGTAATGTGCTGGGGAGCCTGGTCTCGGCACTGGGGTGGGTCCTGGAGGTGGTCTTCAGATACTAGTGGTCTCTACTGCTGGAGGTAACATTTCACTAATCCTTGTTTTCATGTGTGTCAGGTGTGTGCGGGTTGTAACTCAGAATCAGATGACTTTGGTTACTATGGATACTAACATTTGTTTAGATAACCCAAGGGGCTGAAAAACGTTAACAAACTTAGTAACTTCCACAATGATTCCTAAAAAGAAGACATTATTTGAACTTTCGTTTGATTTTTATAATAACATAATTCTAATGACAAACAAACTCCATTTCTTTGTTACTGTGATTACAAATTCCATTTCTCTTCATTCACGACAACATTTTAATTCAATCAATCATAAGATCTTAGCGGTTAGTATACTTAAAGTATTAAAAATGCACTTCTCAGAATTATTATTTTACCGTAAACTGGACATATTCTCATGATCGTTTATTTGATGTACTATTTACAAATTACATATACCACGATTGGCTACATTATTTTTGGTCAGCCTTTTTTCTTTTAATAATCACGACCGTGACTCGGTAACTAATTTTTGGTTATTACAATTTACAATTTTACAGTTCCTTAATTTTCTTAGGAACTCAGTATTTAATTTAAGAGATGCATTTCGAGCAGGAAAATTAATCTATTGTACAATGATTCCGTATCGGAACGATCAAAACTAAATTATTTCGTTAATACTTTGGTAATGAATTCAGAAAATTTTATGAATGTATGAAAATTTTTAAGGGTGTGGGTTGTGATAAATTAAATTTGTTTAACATTGAATTAAATTGAAGAATGCTAGTGATTGATTATTTTTCAGTTTTTTCATCGTACTGGTACACATGTTGTATTATATATATGGTACTAATGACGTGATATTTGTAGAACAAGCATGCTACCGATCTTGTTGAAATTGGTTCATAGAAATCTGGTAGCAATTGCATACTTGTAAGTTGTAACATGCTTGTAACTGCCCAAATAACTTTAAATCATTTCCATAAATTCTCTACATATCACGTCATTGTAATTGATAGTTCAAAATCCTATGATAAGTCAACAATAGTATACACAATAAAATAGAAAACAATATACAATATTGATACTCCATCGATCCAAAGAATCAAAGCATTTTAGTTTTATATTTTCCGGCCCTATCAGTTTTCAAAACTTGCAAACACTTTGGCAAAATAATAAATGAAATTAATAGGCCTCAATCACTATCAACCTTTTATTCTCAAATTCCTTCTAATCTGTGAGAATTTTATCAATTATCTCATTTTGACCCAGAAACTTGATTGCAATCCAAAAAGCGAAATATCCAATTATTCACAGTATTACAAATGCACGGAAGTATCAATTATCATTAAAGGTATACGCGGCCATAAATATTTGATTTTTATTTGAGGCAAAACATTGTAATGTAAGGCCGGAAACTACAATTCAATAAAATTAATAAAAACGCTTTAACGCACCGTTCACAGAAACCATCAAATAACGGATTTTGAACTTGTAGTTGTACGTAATTATTCGACTTTAAAATGCAGTACTTTAAATTAAAATCAGATGATTTCTTGAGCTCAGACGTCAATATCTCGCGTTAATTTTAGTTTGAAGATAAATCTTGACCGACTAGTAATACTTTGTGGAAGGTCCAGCATAATGGAAATGGAATGATCTGGAACTTCTTGAATCTTTTGGTAAAAGTTCTAGCTCATTCTACCATGCCGGACTTGTTAATAAAAGGTATAAAAAGTTCTAGCTCTAGCTTCTACCATGCTGGACTTGTTAATAAAAGGTATAAAAAGTTCTTGCTTATTAATATTAGACGATAAGAACGACTGTGCTCAAGCTAATCTCGTCGCTTTTCATTTGTCGTTTGAAGTTGGGTCGGGCACTTAATCAGCCGACAGCGTAAGTCTACGTGTTAACGTCACGTGTTACCATGGTTACAACACTCTTAACGTCACGTCGTCACGTGTCAAACCACCCCGAGAAAGAATGGCTGGTCAACTTTATATTGACAGCACTGATCTTAATCTCACGCACAAACAGATTCCGAGCGTGCTAAATCACTTTACACTGGAACTTTTAGGGACGATATTTTACCAGGTGCTTGAGCTGGGTTAGGGTTAGGGTCAGAGTAGAGGGTTACTTAGTGATAGTCACCTTGGTTACCTGGTTACCTGGTTACCTGGTTACCTGGTTACCTGGTTACCTGGTGACCTGGTTACCTGGTTACCTGGTTACCAGGTGCTTGAGCTGGGTTAGGGTCGGGGTCAGAGCAGAGGGTTACTTAGTCACGTGCGACAGTTCAGTGTAGAGTGATTTATCATCATCCAACAGATTCATAATCATAAATAATGTCGTACAATTTGTATCGTGTTGTTAACGCGAAATTAGTTCGACAGAACTCTTTTAATAAAAGCACTTTTGCTATTGATTCATCCATTGCAGTTTTACTTTTATGATTAAGGAATCAATGAAGATATCTCCAACAGCTATAAACAAGTTAAAATATGCGTTTTGAACTCTAATGTATGTTTTATGTGTTAACCCCGTGATGCCTATGTATCTGTTGTTTCCATGTATTTATTAAAATGTTATTTCTTACAATCGGTAATTTTGCGACGATTCAGCTATTTTAGAGATTTAGAACCTGATTTTCTAACGACTAAACTGATGGTAATTTTTGACCCAATGCGGATTTGGTTCCATAAATCGCAAAAGCTACCCAGTGCGATCATATTTCGTTTCGTTTTCAGAGTAATTTATGGAACCAATCCAACTTTTGTTTTGATATGATGCTGTGATTAAAGATTTCTGATTGAAGATTTCTGACTGGTTCTAAAAATGTCCATTATGACTATTACCAGTAGCCATCCGATTTTTGTCGAGTTTCCGACAAAAACTAATTCAACGTCTAAAATTATATTTTCCAAAAAGTGATTACGTAATATGCGAATGACCCCTTAGTAAACTGGTTTCTTAATAATGGACATTCTTTGGAAGTATGAAGGGCATTGGGTCCAAACATTTGACTAAAACCATTTATATCTACAACCACTAAAGGAAGTTTTATTAGCTAAAATATTTTTACAGTTTCTTTTAACAACCCTTATAAATATTCTTTTAATTTATTTACCGCTGATTATCATTGAGTTATTTAATACTATTCGTGCTATATTTGAAAACGGGATTGAACCAGAGTCACATTTCATTGGCCTTCATAATACTAACATCTTACTAACGTTGCAGTGCCAGAATTACTCATAGCGTCCCTTTGACATCAATTAGAGTACTAAATTAATAAAGTAACTACCTTCAAACTTAAAACTCGTATCGTAGTCCCTGCACATCACTACAATCTTATGTAGTGTGAGGGTGTGCATTTAAAAGTTTCTAAATCTCTTTCAATACTCCAAAATAACACGAGTTAAAGTGCACACGAGTTAAGTTCTTCACAGTCGGTTCAATCCCACAAAAAGAATTTTAATTTGTCAATATTAATTGAATATCAACATCCAATGCTATCCAGAAGTTATGGGTTTTGTTTTTTAAAAGAAGAATCTCTTTATTCATACATGATCAATTATTCTTTCGTTCATCATTTTCGTTCAGTCGTTCACCTTTTAACTTGATATAGATCGACCTATTATATCCAAAATATTATCACGATTGAAGGCTTAAAATTTGTTATTAAATTTTGTTGACTTTCTTTTCCTTTCGGTATTGAATCGTTTAAACCGTGAGGTGGTACTGGTAGTGTAGTATAAGTGGGCTTACAAAGTGGCAATATAGAATCACAATGTTTCGTTTAAGATATTAAAGGAAATGAATTTCTAAGAAAAGCTTCTATTAGCTACTTTGATTGGACCTTATATTAGTGGCAATAACTTAATATTCTAAAAAGTAGATGTTTGTAAAGGTAATAGTGGCAATAACTTAATATTCTAAAAAGTAGATGTTTGTAAAGGTAATAGTGGCAATAACTTAATATTCTAAAAAGTAGATGTTTGTAAAGGTAATAGTGGCAATAACTTAATATTCTAAAAAGTAGATGTTTGTAAAGGTTTGGGGGAGGGGGTTTTCGAGGGAATTAATGCCGAGAGGTTACTGATTCTTTAAAGATTACTTGATTACATACCTGGCAAGCTTTCTTGCTTTTGAAATTTGAAATGTTGAGATCAAACTTAATTTAACCACGCTTGTTTTACTTTGATCACAACTCTAACCGAATGATTCAAGTACATAAATTTACCGATGAGCAAACCCAAAAGGGTTTTTTTTTAAAAAACCTCTTCAAAAATTTTTTAATTTTTTAAAAAGGATGAAAAATTAAAATTTAGGTTAAATTTTTTCAAAAAAAATTGTTTTAGAAAAAGCTCCGAAATGTTCGTTATAATACGACAACGGTGTAGTTATTAACTAATACTAATAGCTTTATAGCTCTCGGCCCGCCCTTATTCATTACTGATCTATTGTAGGGATGTTAAAGGCCCGCTTATAGCTTTTAAATGCAAAGCATACGATCATTATGGCCAGAATACTTGAATTATACATAGATTATGCAGGAAGACTAGACAAAACCAGTCATTAGCCACAGAGGCCCTGTGGGCGGGGGAGCGTACTATAAGTGCGTGATGGCCTCCTCAATATTATATAGAGCCATTACACAATCGCCAACTGTTTGGCAGTGAGCCAGCTGGAGAATGAGCCTCGTGACTCTGGTTGTTGCTGGGGCTGAACGCGCAGCATTATGCAAAGAACATATTGTCAGTATTCAGCTGATATATAATGGTTATGAGTGAAACTACTTATGGCATACAGCCACATTTCATGCGGTAATTTACAACATTTACGTCAACGATTCCGGTATTGCATGCCAACTCATCTGGCGATGTTAATATTACCACGTATCAAACATACCTAGATAACATTTCCGTCATTTTATTGAGGTAAAAATTCTTGCTATCTTGGAAGTGAAACTTTTTAAAGGGGACTCAGAAATACTCGGATCATAACAACGTCAACATGGTACGATAACAAATTAGCAGATCACAAAGTATCATAACTACAATGTTATGCTATTTTAGAACTCGAAACATTAGACAGTACTAATCATAAAATCACCATAAAGTGCTACCAATACAAAGTAACATTACCTTATATGGTAGTGTTACCATAGTAATACTACCATATAAGGTAGTGTTACCATAGTAATACTACCATATAAGGTAATACAAAGTCAAATATTCATTTCAGTTTCACTCCTACTCACCTACTGTTTATTGAGTAATTATACACACAAGGTCTAGAATCTAGATGGACACGAAAATTATACAAATTAAGTAACTCAACTTACATAGGTTGCCATAAATCATAACATGAATGAGCTGGAATATATCTCTGAATATACCGGTAGAAAACCTTTTGTACAAAACCCTGCCTAAACATCCATTAGTGCATTGCCGCACCCGCTAAAAAGGAGGTTCGAATGAATGATGGAACCATGACAACAAATGGTAAAAGTGTGTAACATTGCTTCTCTGCTGACGAGGCCAGATATCTAACTATCAGGGAGGCAAAAATATCTGAGGAGCATCACGTGTTCTCCTTATATGGGCATCACGTGTTCATCATGACAGATCACGTGTTCTCCTTATATGGGCATCACGTGACATCATGATAGATCTGACCACACGTAGAACTTCTTGCTCTTCTCGAGACTGATAAAGGCTTGACCCATGGGGTGCCACTTAACAACAGGAACCGCTGAGCTGTGCATTTTAGGGACCTCCTCTCTCTTTAGGGTGCGCGTGTTCCAGACGAATATGTTGCCGTCTGTAGAACCACATGCTATGTACTGTCCGTCTGGACTGAAGGAACAGCGTGTGTGTTCCCCCATTCTTAGCCCATCTGCTGTAAAGGTTGCTATCGCTTGTCTTAGTTTGAGGTCTATGAACTTTATCGTGGACGCGTCCTGAAGGGGATAGAAATCGTTTAATGATGAAAAATATATAATATATCAAATATATAATGTCAACTATATTAAGATAAAATGAAGTTCTTGTATTGTAGTAATATTTTCTATAATAAGACTATTATATACCTTGCAACTACACGCGAGGTACTTCCCACATCCGCTCAGATCCAAGCTTGTTATCCGACCATCTAGGAGCATTTCAAAGGAAGATGTGTCCTGTCTCTCATCCCAGAACCTCAAGCGTTTGTCGAAGTGACCACTCACAATGTCCGTGCTGAATTAAGTTACATTTAAGTTTATATTTCGTGTCTTCGTGGACATACCAAATACAATACTATAATACTTTACAATAAATTATAAACCTATCCTAATACTGGGTAGAATTGCACCTTGATTGATCAAAATATGTCGTCCACAAATAGTTACTCTGTTTAATAAGGTGCTGTCTAACTCCGTGGACAAGTAAATTAAGTAAAGTAATTGAAAGCAGCAGGGCCGTAGCAAGGAACAGAGCCCCTAAAAATGGATATTTTGTTAAGTGTTACATAAGGAAGTTTTACATTGAGTTAACACCAGGGGCGGGGGGGGGGGCACCACTCACTTACCCTTGTTCACTAAGCACAGCGAGATCGTGACAACTTGACCGAGCAAATATCGTCCGTACATCTGAGGAGAACAGTAATTATGTAGCAGGTTTAAGTGAGTTCTAAGCAATGGAATTTGGTGGTGAACTTGTAGGTATGATATACAATACAATCAATACACGTGATAAACATATAAGGAGAACACGTGATCAGACTAAATCTTACTTTTGTTAGTTCTGACGTCCCACAACCTCAGGGTCCTATCATGACTTCCCGACACTATTTTCTGAGAGTGGCTGTAGAATTTGACGCAGTAAATCTTGTTGTCGTGTCCCATAAAAGTGGAGCGGATTTGCCCACCAGCAACTTGCCACATTCTAACTGCTGAGTCGTTTGACCCCGCCACCACGTATTGATCCTGGAATAGTTTCATCTCAATGTCCTGTGAGGCTAGGAGGTTTCAAATCGATGCCAGATTTGAAACCAGGAATTCTGGTTCTGAGCTAAAATTCTCTACCAGTAGTTTCAGAAATATTCGATTTAAAGTGCTTCTTTTAGTTAGAAATTGGATCGAGAAATTAATCTATTAGCAGCGAGTAAATACGTGTACATTAAGAGATAAATTTCAATTTGTATCGGTGGCGCGCACCGTGCGCAGAATAAACACGCGTAACCTAACTACTTGCCATGAAAATTTTAATACTACTTTGGCAGCGCGCGCTACGCGGACAACATTTGTCCATATAATGATTCCTCAAAATGGAGACATTTTCTCAATTTCAGATTTCGCCCAAAACAGCCTAAAACTGATCTATCTTACAAGGTATCAGTTCTAATATGACAGGAAAGTTTTTTGAACCGGTGAAAAAGGATGGTGAAGATAAAATATGCCAAAAATTTAAATTCTGAAATTCATCGAAAAACATCGTAGGGAACCGGAATTCCAAGATAAGAATAAATGTTAACTGTCCTAATAGACCAGGGAGGGTATTTACAGTTGACACCCTGGTAGATCTGGAAGTATTTGGGGCCTTCAGGGGGAAAAATGGGCCGAAAAGGGGCCGAAAAGGGGCATTTTCGGGTGTTTTCAAATTTGAGATTTCAAAGCCAGATTTTCGGCTTTAGTTGGCTGGGACACGCCCAAATTGGTGTGGGTGAGTTGCATAGAGGTAGTACAAGTGTGATCCGTTGCAGAAATCCGGGTTCCCAAGATTCAAAATGACTTGACAAGATTTTGTAAAAAATTGGAGACATTTTGGAATCCATGGGAATTTTTTGGAGACATCCATATTTCGCCCTAAAACGTCTCCAATGAGTTTGTTTGGCACCCTGGTTAATCTGGAAGTACGTTACCAGTTATTTGGGGCCTTCAGGGGGGAAAATGGGCCGAAAAATGGGCCGGAAAGGGGCATTTTCGGGTGTTTTCAAATTTGAGATTTCAAAGCCAGATTTTCGGCTTTAGTTGGCTGGGACATGCCCAAATTGGTGTGGGTGAGTTGCATAGAGGTAGTACAAGTGTGATCCGTTGCAGAAATCTGGGTTCCCAAGATTCAAAATGACTTGACAAGATTTTGTAAAAAATTGGAGACATTTTGGAATCCATGGGAATTTTTTGGAGACATCCATATTTCGCCCTAAAACGTCTCCAATGAGTTTGGTTGGCACCCTGGTTGATCTGGAAGTACGTTACCAGTTATTTGGGGCCTTCAGGGGGGAAAATGGGCCGAAAAATGGGCCGGAAAGGGGCATTTTCGGGTGTTTTCAAATTTGAGATTTCAAAGCCAGATTTTCGGCTTTAGTTGGCTGGGACATGCCCAAATTGGTGTGGGTGAGTTGCATAGAGGTAGTACAAGTGTGATCCGTTGCAGAAATCTGGGTTCCCAAGATTCAAAATGACTTGACAAGATTTTGTAAAAAATTGGAGACATTTTGGAATCCATGGGAATTTTTTGGAGACATCCATATTTCGCCCTAAAACGTCTCCAATGAGTTTGGTTGGCACCCTGGTTGATCTGGAAGTACGTTACCAGTTATTTGGGGCCTTCAGGGGGGAAAATGGGCCGAAAAATGGGCCGAAAAGGGGCATTTTCGGGTGTTTTCAAATTTGAGATTTCAAAGCCAGATTTTCGGCTTTAGTTGGCTGGGACATGCCCAAATTGGTGTGGGTGAGTTGCATAGAGGTAGTACAAGTGTGGACCGTTGCAGAAATCCGGGTTCCCAAGATTCAAAATGACTTGAAAAGATTTTGTAAAAAATTGGACACCCGAAAATGCCCCTTTTCGGCCCATTTTTCGGCACCATTTTCCCCCCTGGCTCTGAAGGCCCCAAATAACTGGTAACGTACTTCCAGATCAACCAGGGTGCCAACCAAACTCATCGGAGACGTTTTAGGGCGAAATATGGATGTCTCCAAAAAATTCCCATGGATTCCAAAATGTCTCCAATTTTTTACAAAATCTTTTCAAGTCATTTTGAATCTTGGGAACCCGGATTTCTGCAACGGATCACACTTGTACTACCTCTATGCAACTCACCCACACCAATTTGGGCATGTCCTAGCCAACTAAAGCCGAAAATCTGGCTTTGAAATCTCAAATTTGAAAACACCCGAAAATGTCCCTTTTCGGCCCATTTTTCGGCCCATTTTCGCCCCTGAAGGCCCCAAATAACTGGTAACGTACTTCCAGATCAACCAGGGTGCCAACCAAACTCATTGGAGACGTTTTAGGGCGAAATATGGATGTCTCCAAAAAATTCCCATGGATTCCAAAATGTCTCCAATTTTTTACAAAATCTTGTCAAGTCATTTTGAATCTTGGGAACCCGGATTTCTGCAACGGATCACACTTGTACTACCTCTATGCAACTCACCCACACCAATTTGGGCGTGTCCCAGCCAACTAAAGCCGAAAATCTGGCTTTGAAATCTCAAATTTGAAAACACCCGAAAATGCCCCTTTCCGGCCCATTTTTCGGCCCATTTTCCCCCCTGAAGGCCCCAAATAACTGGTAGCGTACTTCCAGATCAACCAGGGTGCTAACCAAACTCATTGGAGACGTTTTAGGGCGAAATATGGATGTCTCCAAAAAATTCCCATGGATTCCAAAATGTCTCCAATTTTTTACAAAATCTTGTCAAGTCATTTTGAATCTTGGGAACCCGGATTTCTGCAACGGATCACACTTGTACTACCTCTATGCAACTCACCCACACCAATTTGGGCGTGTCCCAGCCAACTAAAGCCGAAAATCTGGCTTTGAAATCTCAAATTTGAAAACACCCGAAAATGCCCCTTTTCGGCCCATTTTTCGGCCCATTTTCGCCCCTGAAGGCCCCAAATAACTGGTAACGTACTTCCAGATCAACCAGGGTGCCAACCAAACTCATTGGAGACGTTTTAGGGCGAAATATGGATGTCTCCAAAAAATTCCCATGGATTCCAAAATGTCTCCAATTTTTTACAAAATCTTGTCAAGTCATTTTGAATCTTGGGAACCCGGATTTCTGCAACGGATCACACTTGTACTACCTCTATGCAACTCACCCACACCAATTTGGGCGTGTCCCAGCGAACTAAAGCCGAAAATCTGGCTTTGAAATCTCAAATTTGAAAACACCCGAAAATGCCCCTTTTCGGCCCATTTTTCGGCCCATTTTCCCCCCTGAAGGCCCCAAATAACTGGTAACGTACTTCCAGATCAACCAGGGTGCCAACCAAACTCATTGGAGACGTTTTAGGGCGAAATATGGATGTCTCCAAAAAATTCCCATGGATTCCAAAATGTCTCCAATTTTTTACAAAATCTTGTCAAGTCATTTTGAATCTTGGGAACCCGGATTTCTGCAACGGATCACACTTGTACTACCTCTATGCAACTCACCCACACCAATTTGGGCGTGTCCCAGCCAACTAAAGCCGAAAATCTGGCTTTGAAATCTCAAATTTGAAAACACCCGAAAATGCCCCTTTCCGGCCCATTTTTCGGCCCATTTTCCCCCCTGAAGGCCCCAAATAACTGGTAACGTACTTCCAGATCAACCAGGGTGCTAACCAAACTCATTGGAGACGTTTTAGAACGAAATATGGATGTCTCCAAAAAATTCCCATGGATTCCAAAATGTCTCCAATTTTTTACAAAATCTTGTCAAGTCATTTTGAATCTTGGGAACCCGGATTTCTGCAACGGATCACACTTTTACTACCTCTATGCAACTCACCCACACCAATTTGGGCGTGTCCCAGCCAACTAAAGCCGAAAATCTGGCTTTGAAATCTCAAATTTGAAAACACCCGAAAATGCCCCTTTTCGGCCCATTTTTCGATCCATTTTCCCCCCTGAAGGCCCCAAATAACTGGTAACGTACTTCCAGATCAACCAGGGTGCCAACCAAACTCATTGGAGACGTTGTAGGGCGAAATATGGATGTCTCCAAAAAATTCCCATGGATTCCAAAATGTCTCCAATTTTTTACAAAATCTTGTCAAGTCATTTTGAATCTTGGGAACCCGGATTTCTGCAACGGATCACACTTGTACTACCTCTATGCAACTCACCCACACCAATTTGGGCGTGTCCCAGCCAACTAAAGCCGAAAATCTGGCTTTGAAATCTCAAATTTGAAAACACCCGAAAATGCCCCTTTTCGGCCCATTTTTCGGCCCATTTTCGCCCCTGAAGGCCCCAAATAACTGGTAACGTACTTCCAGATCAACCAGGGTGCCAACCAAACTCATTGGAGACGTTTTAGGGCGAAATATGGATGTCTCCAAAAAATTCCCATGGATTCCAAAATGTCTCCAATTTTTTACAAAATCTTGTCAAGTCATTTTGAATCTTGGGAACCCGGATTTCTGCAACGGATCACACAAGTGTACTACCTCTATGCAACTCACCCACACCAATTTGGGCGTGTCCCAGCCAACTAAAGCCGAAAATCTGGCTTTGAAATCTCAAATTCGAAAACACCCGAAAATGCCCCTTTCCGGCCCATTTTTCGGCCCATTTTCCCCCCTGAAGGCCCCAAATAACTGGTAACGTACTTCCAGATCAACCAGGGTGCTAACCAAACTCATTGGAGACGTTTTAGGGCGAAATATGGATGTCTCCAAAAAATTCCCATGGATTCCAAAATGTCTCCAATTTTTTACAAAATCTTGTCAAGTCATTTTGAATCTTGGGAACCCGGATTTCTGCAACGGATCACACTTGTACTACCTCTATGCAACTCACCCACACCAATTTGGGCGTGTCCCAGCCAACTAAAGCCGAAAATCTGGCTTTGAAATCTCAAATTTGAAAACACCCGAAAATGCCCCTTTTCGGCCCATTTTTCGGCCCATTTTCGCCCCTGAAGGCCCCAAATAACTGGTAACGTACTTCCAGATCAACCAGGGTGCCAACCAAACTCATTGGAGACGTTTTAGGGCGAAATATGGATGTCTCCAAAAAATTCCCCTGGATTCCAAAATGTTTCCAATTTTTTACAAAATCTTGTCAAGTCATTTTGAATCTTGGGAACCCGGATTTCTGCAACGGATCACACTTGTACTACCTCTATGCAACTCACCCACACCAATTTGGGCGTGTCCCAGCCAACTAAAGCCGAAAATCTGGCTTTGAAATCTCAAATTTGAAAACACCCGAAAATGCCCCTTTCCGGCCCATTTTTCGGCCCATTTTACCCCCTGAAGGCCCCAAATAACTGGTAACGTACTTCCAGATCAACCAGGGTGCTAACCAAACTCATTGGAGACGTTTTAGGGCGAAATATGGATGTCTCCAAAAAATTCCCATGGATTCCAAAATGTCTCCAATTTTTTACAAAATCTTGTCAAGTCATTTTGAATCTTGGGAACCCGGATTTCTGCAACGGATCACACTTGTACTACCTCTATGCAACTCACCCACACCAATTTGGGCGTGTCCCAGCCAACTAAAGCCGAAAATCTGGCTTTGAAATCTCAAATTTGAAAACACCCGAAAATGCCCCTTTTCGGCCCATTTTTCGGCCCATTTTCCCCCCTGAAGGCCCCAAATAACTGGTAACGTACTTCCAGATCAACCAGGGTGCCAACCAAACTCATTGGAGACGTTTTAGGGCGAAATATGGATGTCTCCAAAAAATTCCCATGGATTCCAAAATGTCTCCAATTTTTTACAAAATCTTGTCAAGTCATTTTGAATCTTGGGAACCCGGATTTCTGCAACGGATCACACTTGTACTACCTCTATGCAACTCACCCACACCAATTTGGGCGTGTCCCAGCCAACTAAAGCCGAAAATCTGGCTTTGAAATCTCAAATTTGAAAACACCCGAAAATGCCCCTTTCCGGCCCATTTTTCGGCCCATTTTCCCCCCTGAAGGCCCCAAATAACTGGTAACGTACTTCCAGATCAACCAGGGTGCTAACCAAACTCATTGGAGACGTTTTAGGGCGAAATATGGATGTCTCCAAAAAATTCCCATGGATTCCAAAATGTCTCCAATTTTTTACAAAATCTTGTCAAGTCATTTTGAATCTTGGGAACCCGGATTTCTGCAACGGATCACACTTGTACTACCTCTATGCAACTCACCCACACCAATTTGGGCGTGTCCCAGCCAACTAAAGCCGAAAATCTGGCTTTGAAATCTCAAATTTGAAAACACCCGAAAATGCCCCTTTTCGGCCCATTTTTCGGCCCATTTTCCCCCCTGAAGGCCCCAAATAACTGGTAACGTACTTCCAGATCAACCAGGGTGCCAACCAAACTCATTAGAGACGTTTTAGGGCGAAATATGGATGTCTCCAAAAAATTCCCATGGATTCCAAAATGTCTCCAATTTTTTACAAAATCTTGTCAAGTCATTTTGAATCTTGGGAACCCGGATTTCTGCAACGGATCACACTTATACTACCTCTATGCAACTCACCCACACCAATTTGGGCGTGTCCCAGCCAACTAAAGCCGAAAATCTGGCTTTGAAATCTCAAATTTGAAAACACCTGAAAATGCCCCTTTTCGGCCCATTTTTCGGCCCATTTTCCCCCCTGAAGGCCCCAAATAACTGGTAACGTACTTCCAGATCAACCAGGGTGCCAACCAAACTCATTGGAGACGTTTTAGGGCGAAATATGGATGTCTCCAAAAAATTCCCATGGATTCCAAAATGTCTCCAATTTTTTACAAAATCTTGTCAAGTCATTTTGAATCTTGGGAACCCGGATTTCTGCAACGGATCACACTTGTACTACCTCTATGCAACTCACCCACACCAATTTGGGCGTGTCCCAGCCAACTAAAGCCGAAAATCTGGCTTTGAAATCTCAAATTTGAAAACACCCGAAAATGCCCCTTTTCGGCCCATTTTTCGGCCCATTTTCCCCCCTGAAGGCCCCAAATAACTGGTAACGTACTTCCAGATCAACCAGGGTGCCAACCAAACTCATTGGAGACGTTTTAGGGCGAAATATGGATGTCTCCAAAAAATTCCCATGGATTTCAAAATGTCTCCAATTTTTTACAAAATCTTGTCAAGTCATTTTGAATCTTGGGAACCCGGATTTCTGCAACGGATCACACTTGTACTACCTCTATGCAACTCACCCACACCAATTTGGGCGTGTCCCAGCGAACTAAAGCCGAAAATCTGGCTTTGAAATCTCAAATTTGAAAACACCCGAAAATGCCCCTTTTCGGCCCATTTTCGGCCCATTTTCCCCCCTGAAGGCCCCAAATAACTGGTAACGTACTTCCAGATCAACCAGGGTGCTAACCAAACTCATTGGAGACGTTTTAGGGCGAAATATGGATGTCTCCAAAAAATTCCCATGGATTCCAAAATGTCTCCAATTTTTTACAAAATCTTGTCAAGTCATTTTGAATCTTGGGAACCCGGATTTCTGCAACGGATCACACTTGTACTACCTCTATGCAACTCACCCACACCAATTTGGGCGTGTCCCAGCCAACTAAAGCCGAAAATCTGGCTTTGAAATCTCAAATTTGAAAACACCCGAAAATGCCCCTTTTCGGCCCATTTTTCGGCCCATTTTCCCCCCTGAAGGCCCCAAATAACTGGTAACGTACTTCCAGATCAACCAGGGTGCCAACCAAACTCATTGGAGACGTTTTAGGGCGAAATATGGATGTCTCCAAAAAATTCCCATGGATTCCAAAATGTCTCCAATTTTTTACAAAATCTTGTCAAGTCATTTTGAATCTTGGGAACCCGGATTTCTGCAACGGATCACACTTGTACTACCTCTATGCAACTCACCCACACCAATTTGGGCGTGTCCCAGCGAACTAAAGCCGAAAATCTGGCTTTGAAATCTCAAATTTGAAAACACCCGAAAATGCCCCTTTTCGGCCCATTTTCGGCCCATTTTCCCCCCTGAAGGCCCCAAATAACTGGTAACGTACTTCCAGATCAACCAGGGTGCTAACCAAACTCATTGGAGACGTTTTAGGGCGAAATATGGATGTCTCCAAAAAATTCCCATGGATTCCAAAATGTCTCCAATTTTTTACAAAATCTTGTCAAGTCATTTTGAATCTTGGGAACCCGGATTTCTGCAACGGATCACACTTGTACTACCTCTATGCAACTCACCCACACCAATTTGGGCGTGTCCCAGCCAACTAAAGCCGAAAATCTGGCTTTGAAATCTCAAATTTGAAAACACCCGAAAATGCCCCTTTTCGGCCCATTTTTCGGCCCATTTTCGCCCCTGAAGGCCCCAAATAACTGGTAACGTACTTCCAGATCAACCAGGGTGCCAACCAAACTCATTGGAGACGTTTTAGGGCGAAATATGGAAAACAAAATTTTGACATATTTTTTTGGCAAATATGGTTTCCCACCCCCCTTTTTTGTCTTCTTTTCGCATGTGAAAGGTCTTAGTTTGTTTGAGGGACAGACCAGAACTCAGTTAAGCCATATACAGCTAATTTAAGTGCTTAAATATCAATAATACGTAATTCCCCTCTAATTCCCCTCCAATTCCCATGAAATTCCCATGGAGACAATGTCTCCAAAATGTCTCCAAATATGAGGAATCATAATATCCATTTGTCAGTGTGTCAGATAGTGGCAATCAGAAGTACGCAAGGCTGGCTGCTAGTTTCTACTGTTAACAGTCAACTCCATATCTCTCTTACCCGTTCGTCAATGTCAATACTCATAACTCCAGCATTGCACCCAGTCAACGTGCTGATACTATCAACATTTGGCACTGAAATACAGAATTATTTAGCAATCGTACAGCCGGAAGTGGAGAAAGTCTTAGAACTAAAATTTATAGCCTATGATGTGCACCAGCTCTATGAGTATCAGTTGGAAGCCCTATTAAAACTGTAAAATAATTATAACTAACGATTACTGGATCTCCATAACTTGACACATTTATCTGCCCCTCCTGTAGCAAACATCGTCCCTTGATAACTGAAGGCTAACGAGTATAACTCGCTCGAATGTTGCTCCTGAAAACGTGGCCTTCAGACATTAATAAACCATTATTATATGTGCTATATGTTAATGATTTTCCAGACAATAGTAAGAGTAAAACTATAATATTAATCTGATTGGAAATGAAAAATTGTAAAAACTATAAAATGATAATATACCCACCACTTTGTTGGTAACTTGGCTTGGTATGATAGCAGGTCCGGAGTACAGTCTGCAGCGAGATGAAACACTGATAATAAACATGTGTTAAGTAATGGATACTTTGCTACTTTTTAACGACCAATCAATAACTAGAATATTTTTCACTAGTCAAAATAAACCATCATCTTTCCATCACCCACGTGCACTGCAATCAGCGAAGAAGGCACAATTTCTGTTACAACAAAAAGTATTAGAATCAGTACACTAAAATCACAAACACATGCTGCCTACTGGTTAAGGGAAATGGGTCATACCAGACTCTAGGTAAAGGTAAGTATAGGTTAATAGACCATGCCTAATCAACTAAAGAATAACCCTGGTTCAATGAGACACAGCTGGATAACAGGTCACAGCACGTGTGATGACGTCACAGCACGTGTGATGACGTCACAGCACGTGTGATGACGTCACAGCACGTGTGATGACGTCACAGCACGTGTGATGACGTCACAGCACGTGTGATGACGTCACAGCACGTGTGATGACGTCACAGCACGTGTGATGACGTCACAGCACGTGTGATGACGTCACAGCACGTGTGATGACGTCACAGCACGTGTGATGACGTCACAGCACGTGTGGTTCAATGAGACACAGCTGGATAACAGGTCACAGCACGTGTGAAGACGTCACAGCACGTGTGGTTCAATGCGACACAGCTGGATAACAGGTAACTTACGAACTGTGCCTTGATTCGTGGTCCTCGCTCTCAGACTCAGATTTGCGGAATAAACGAGAGAATAGTCCAGCACGCCCCCCGGCACCACTATTCGATATTCCACCCAAACTAAACACATGTTTACATTAGGCTCCTTATTCCAAACCTTATTATCTTAAGGATGTTTTATATGAGGTGTGAGATGGCATCTTTGTGGTTGTGATAAAGTTGATGAGCAGATTTTTAGCATTCCATTGTTTTATTAGAATCACTAAATCATCCTGACACTATTGATACAAACATTTTATATAACTGTGACAGAAAGGCCTACCGGCTGCGGGGAAGCGATAAAATATCAACTTGAGAAAGGTTAGAGGTGTGATTAACACTTAACAAACTGAAATAACAACTATTTTCAAGAGAGAGAGGAAGTGCCGACATGTAATAAAAAGAACGGCGGAGTGAACACGTGGTGCTAGGGACAAAAGGAAATCGCGGCATGTACAGAATCGCGATTTTTCCCATTTTTTGCGACAAATTTTACATGTCTTGCGGTATCAAACGCGGTAAAAATCGCAGTATCGCGATTTTCTTTTGACCCTGCGTGATGCCCACATAAGGAGTGAACACCTTTACATGCAGACCCCAATGATATAACATGTTACATACGATTGTTCGGGCGAGTTGTTATCTTCTTTTCTTGCACTTTCTAATTCGTAGAACATCTGGTGCTCTTTCAACCTGAGTGTTGAACTAACTAAAGAGGGTGTTGAAAATCATGCTATAAATTTAGGGCCTGAGGCCTGGATATATGTAGAACAGGGACAAGTTATGTAAAATGTTTCCAATCAGTAACTAATTGGATGGTTTGTGAACAGTATAATTAGTAAAAACACGTGATAAATGCCTTGTTAAGGTGATATCGATAAACCATACTAACTTTTTCATTGTGTCGTTGTGCATGTTCACTACATCCGCCTCCTCCTTTTTGTGGAGGAGTATTTTCTCCAGCATGTGCTGGTTCTCCATCAGTAGGTTCTTGTTGTCCTCCTCTAGTTTCCTACACATTAGCTGGAGAGTTGTAAACTCGTCTCTTAACACACCTGAAAAAAAAAACATTGTAGTTAGACATCTCTTGGAAACTTCCTAGACACCCTTCCAGACAAGCCCCCTACTCCTGGATACAGTGCAGAAAACTCAATAATAGACTGGTGCAGTCAAGGAGGTGGTCCGCAGATTGCGCGATGGCCGTGAAGATGCCTACTTCTGAACCTATCAATAGGTTCAATAGGTAGGTAGATACTTTCCATATTTGTAGCGGAATGGATTATGGGCAGTGAGAGATGATTGAAAAAGTCATTCTCAATAAAACAATAAATTTGAAAATAATGAGGAAGAGGAGTACTACCATTTTCCTGCTCTAAACGGAAGCACTTCCCATCCAAGTTAATGATCTGAGTCTCTTTACTTCCGACATCCTTAACCTTCATAGCCATTCTCAGCATCTCCCGCTGTGTGTTCTCATGTTGTCTTATTAGCTGGATATTCTCCTGACAAATATGGTTATTTACTCGTTTGTTTTATTAACATAGTTAACTAAGTTAAGTCTCCTTCTAGCCTCCACTTAATCATCTCAAAGCAATTACACACACAATTAGAGGCACATTCCCTAATCTACAGTATCTTGCCTAATAAAGCTATGTAGTTGAAGTAGTACTACTACATACTAAGCTAAGTAGTTGCTAAACAATACTGTTAATTAAAACTGTAATATCTAAATTTTAAGTTAAAACCCCTGCCTCCCACCTGCTGAAGAGATAGAAAGTTCTTATCATTTTCTGTGAGTTTCTTGCCAGGATCGTTTATAATACTCTTAATATCCTCCTGTCTCCTGAGATTCTCATAGTCTAACTTCTTTATCTTTCCTCTATATTGCTCGAGTGTACTGTACAGTGACGCGACTGTGGGAATGTTAAATATATATTATATATTATGTGATATATAATTTTATCATATTATGTTATTACATTATGTAAAATATATATATTATGGTACATTTTATCTGCTGCATTTTAGAACTTTAGAACAATGATATTCCCATGGCTGATGGCGGGAATCCAATTTTTCCTAATGGCAGTATTGGGCTGACGTTACGAATCATCCACTCACCTTATCACGTGATAGATTAACTAAAACTACTTACAGCTATTAAAGATGTCCTCATAGGGGGCTGTCTCTCTGTTGTTTCGTTCTCTTAGTTTCTCCACAAACTGTTTGGGCCAAGTTCCACTGATTACTATTTCCCAGGTTTTGGGTTGTTTTCGTTTTGAGCTTTCACCCATATATCATCCTATTGACCTTCTATTGTCCCCTGTACCGCTGGGCCATCCTAGATAACGTTATCTATAAAATTACTTACAGTAACTCAACATACAATTACTTACAAAACATGCTGAATATTAAACTGGACTAGTATATATCTATATTATATTTTAAACTTGACGAAATTTCCCCGGCAACGGGGACATAGAAGAAAAAACACCGAAAATCGACCTCAAAATGACCCTCTGGTGATGCCAAACCCAGCTCGCAAATGGAGTTGAAACCTCGCCATTTTTAGCAGGATTGTAGAAAAAGGATAGGAATAGGCTATAGCATTCTTAGAATTTTGATTTAGGCTTTAGATTTTTTATAATTAACGTCGGAAGTGAGGTTAAATAATCGTTAGAATAATGGCGTTATTTTAGCAAAGGTTTACTGCGCTGTTGCGTAGCAACGATAAAAATGCACGTGCGCGAGCAACCACAGATTAACAACGCGCGTTGTTATGCTGTATGCTACGTCATAATTTCAAAACAAGCTCACATTTACGCTCACGCTATGACTTCTTATAATTTTGTTTGTGATTGCAATATTTTGATGCAGTAAAAAGTATCGATACTTTTTTTTTCGATACTAAATTCGCTAGAGCTACACACAATGCTGACATTACGCCGCGCACACACAATCAACAAAAATATTGTTGTTTTCTAATTACGCAAATAACTTTGCGCAGTTAAACATTTTAATTGCCTGGCAATAATTCAATTGACTGTCATTCTCGATTGAAATATCAGAATTTCACAACTAGCTCACATTTACCCTCATGACGCTATAATTATATACCTATATATATTTATAACTTTGGTTGTGATTGAAATTTTTGATGCGGTAAAAAGTATCGTTTTGGGGCTATATGATGAAGAGAAATTAAAACATAACTGATGCTTAAAATTTCCTCGAACAAAGCTTTCGACTAGCGGCGGGTTTCTAGTATTATATAGTATATAGTATAGTTTCAGTCCATAATGGAATAAAATAAGAGTACAAAATCGCAGCCGTTAGCCTCAATATAATAGGTAATTCAGGATATTTGTGCATCTTGCTTGTAAGTTGAAACCTAATATTATAATGTCTTTTAGGCCCGTATTCACCAAATTTGGTTAAAGTACGACCTTAAAGGAAGAATTTCAAGTGTCACGTTAAAGTGACACTTAAAAGTCTCTAGTATAGTTTGAGGTTGAGATAGACACATTGGCTCAAATTGCAAATTTAAAGTCCCTCTTTATCTGTTTATGAATCTGCAACTTGTAGTTTTTATAGATATAAGTTTGGCAATGACTTGCAAACAAATTAGGTAGAGAGTAAGAGGGATATTAACTTAGTTAAAATATCGGAAAATTATAATACATATTTTCTAGAGAACGTTTCCTTAAAAAGAGCACCTGAAGATTTTGCTGACTACATTATCATAATCTGATAGAAATAATAACACAATAATTTGTAGCAAACCATAACAATTTATCTGGAATTAATTAAATAACAAAAAATAAGTAAATACAAGATAAAAATACGTCATAAAATTATGTTTTATTGATGAAAAGCAAATAATTTTATCATGCTCGTATCATCTTTGTGTCAATTTGAAATATTAAAAAACCCAAAACAAACAGGTAACATTGACTCTTACCAAGAGTGTACGCTTATAAAGCTAATAACGTCAGCCAACTCATCAAATTTCCTACACTCATATCACTGTGTATCTGTAATGTTAAAATGACACAACAACACAGCGTCCCCAGAATGGAATAGGAATATGGGATAATCCGTACAAACATCTAGAACCTTCATTTCAGGGGTCTCCAATTTAGCAGACAAACTCTCTGTCACCATGTTATACATACACAAACTTCCTTTTTCAGAGAAAACAGAATAAAAACCGCACATAAAAACATTTCCTTGTGTTTCAACCTCACTAACCAGCCTCTGATCGTCCATGCTAGGGTTGAGAACTAGCGAATATAACACACTACCGCTGCTAATAGCCAGGAAAGTGTGAGAGTTATAGAACCTAGCTGCTCTACACACCAAACCTTCTGATCCTGGTAACCCTGGTAACCCTGGTAACCCTGGTAACCCTGGTAACCCTGGTAACCCTGGTAACCCTGGTAACGCTAACTCACCACACAACTCACCCTGCAGGGTCCAGATATACACATTACCAGCTGAAGTACCCACTAGCTTATCAGACATGTGTCTGAGAGATACTATCAGGTGAGGAGTGGGGAACTGGGTGAGTTTAGTGAGAGTACCAGAGAGAGGATCATACACCAGGGTCTGAATAAGGAAGGTAGGAGGAGTAGTCACGTGATGCCCATATAAGGGAGCGGGGGTGTCTGGTGTAATGGAGAGGAATATCCGGTCTGATGTGTAGCAATATGTTTCTATCTTCTTGCACTCGTATACTAGGTTAGATGTCTTTATATTTACTATCTTACTACTGTTCTTATCAATACCAAGTAAGAGGTCTCCAAACAACAAGATATCATCTGTAAATGAGCTTAGAGCGGGGGAGATATCCCACGTGTTGACACGCCACGTGTTGATATCAACAAGGTTAATGTTACACTCAGTAAGTATCAAGATGTGTGAAGGTGTGTGAACTGGTTCATATTGTGGGGGTGAGGTTAATTGTTCTGATGACGTCACGTGTTCTGATGACGTCACGTGTTCTGATGACGTCACGTGTGGGGGTGACGTCACGTGGTCTCTGTAGATAAACTTAGCAGACACTAATACAGTATTATCTTTATTCTGCCCGGTTTGATTATTGTTGTTCAGTTTGTACTGATGGTTACAGACCATCTTTATAGGAGGTTTGAAGAGGAAGGGTAGTTTGTAATGTGGGAGCGGCTTCAGCTGAAATTAGAAATATGTCAAATAGGATCATACAGTACAACGGAAACAAATCATATAAAAATTAAACGGGACCAATACAAATAATTACTAAACAATACAACTAAACAATACAACTACACACTCATACATTTAATCACGTCTATACTACCCAGGATCTTTGTTTCTCTATTCCTCATTATCGTATCAATTAAACAGACTCAAACTTTCTACCGTAAAATTGCTCTAAACAAATAGTACTAGTTAAGAATGAATAGAAACTGTTAACCAACAATAATAAATAATAACTGGTAAATTACACTGCTTTTGAAAATCACGAACCTTCTGTTGGCTGTGCTCCTCCTTGTGCTCCTCCTTATTTTCCTCCTTATTTTCCTCTTTGTTAACTTTCTTGCATTTGTTTTTCCGTCTGTCAGCATGTTTAAGTTTCCTATTAAGTTCCTGTTGTATTCTCAGTAGCTCAGCTCTCTTTCTGGAGATCTCATCTCTTGCTGCTTTCTCTACTTCTTCTTGAGTTCTCATCTACAGGCCCTGTTATCTCAAACTCGTGTTTTTACCTTATATGGGCATCACGTTACTGTATGTTTACCATGCTGTTATCTACTAGTCGTCTCAACTCTCATCTTCCTTCCTTCCTTGTATTGATGTAGAGATAATTTCAGGTAATCTATATAGCTATACTATATAGGCAGTACTTACTAATAATTAACATAATTAATTAGGTAGAACTTGCTAATAATTAATATTATCTTGTCATTAAATCAGTCTTTTAGTTTCTGTAGCAGAGCGTCTTGATTGGTTTTTTGTTCAATTTCGAATAAAATGGGGATTAAAACAATGCAGTTCATTTCAAACAGATAGAGTGTAAACAACAAATCAAACAGTGAAATCCTCAATATAATATGATAAAAGTACTGAATATTATTCTGCAACTCAAACTCGTGTGTTTACCTTATATGGGCATCACGTTACTATATGTTTACCATGGTGTTATCTGCTGGGACATTCACAGTTCTCGTGTGACTATCAGTCAGAAGTTCATTAAATAACTAATTAATTAAGGGTGAATATTAAGCTAATATATATAAAAGAATTAATTAAATAGCTACGCAAAAATAATTAGCAGATAATATCAATACATCTTTTCAAGTTTTCTCTTTAGCCAGCAAAGGAACTTTCAACTTTAAAATGCAAATTTTTTATTACGTTAAATAGATAGATAAATAGCAATTAATCACATTATTACGCTTAATCGAGCATTCAAACCAATAAATTAAAGATAAATTAAGGATTTAAAATAAATTCACTGTCAAGATCCAAACTCATTTAGTAATCATATTGATTAAAATGGGACCAGCCGTCAAAACAAACTAAAATTCAAAATTCAAATTGTCAGAGATAATTTAAGATTTAATTAATTTAATTCAGAAATGGGTTAAGAATCAAAACTTATCGATAAATTTCTTAAGAGAAAATTCAAAATTAAATAACAATGCAATAATATAATTAATCTACTGTCTAAAATCTAGATTCAACAAGATTAAATTCCCATGCGCCAAGACAGTTTATCACGGCATGCAATATCACTTTAAAACAACAACTAAATCTAGATTATAAAAAAAACATGCCTGACAAACCTTGCTAATTCTTCTACTTAAACTACATCATGTGGTGTGACGTCATGTCACGTGGTGTGACGTTATGTCACGTGGTGTGACGTCATGTCACGTTACAAATAACGCTAACCTCTCACAGTACAAGAAATTTCTCGTGAGTCGTCTTCTGTAAACAGAATCATTTCTATAAACATGACCTATATTTTAATTCGTATCTTATAAACATGACCCCGTACTTCTTACAATAAGTCTTATAAACAGTTGGCTATGGTCAGGATGTTTATTGAGCGTCCACTACAGTGCTCAGGTCTATGTCTATTGGGAAGACGTTAGCCTTGTCGGAGATAGCGGCAGCCTCCTCGTAATAAGCTAGTTGTACTTTAGTCCACTGTTCTAGCTGCACTGTCAGGTCTTGTACTGTGGGAGATAGTGTATAGTAACCATGGTAACACTACCAGTGTATAGTGTATAGTAACCATGGTAACACTACCAGTGTATAGTGTATAGTAACCATGGTAACACTACCAGTATATAGTGTATAGTAACCATGGTAACACTACCAGTGTATAGTGTATAGTAACCATGGTAACACTACCAGTGTACAGTGTATAGTAACCATGGTAACACTACCAGTATATAGTGTATAGTAACCATGGCCTGGTAACACTACCAGTGTATTAATATTCAACAAAATAGGAGCGATTAAACAGTACATTAAGATGCCTAATTGTAAAATCTAACAAACCATGTTTGTACCGTGGGAGATTACTAACCGTGCTTTGAGTTGAGGAGCTGAAGTTTGACTCTGACGTCGCTGCGGAGTTGTAGGAAGTACGCGCGAGCTTGCGCGCGACACCGCAGTACAACTCTGTACTCGTAGTTACCCTCCTCTACGCGGGGCAGTGGGTCGTCTAATGACTGGGGGGTTAAAGGGGGGTTAGAGGGGGTCGTCTAATGACTGGGGGGTTAAAGGGGGGTTAGAGGGGGTCGTCTAATGACTGGGGGGTTAAAGGGGGGTTAGAGGGGGTCGTCTAATGACTGGGGGGTTAAAGGGGGGTTAGAGGGGGTCGTCTAATGACTGGGGGGTTAAAGGGGGGTTAGAGGGGGTCGTCTAATGACTGGGGGGTTAAAGGGGGGTTAGAGGGGGTCGTCTAATGACTGGGGGGTTAAAGGGGGGTTAGAGGGGGTCGTCTAATGACTGGGGGGTTAAAGGGGGGTTAGAGGGGGTCGTCTAATGACTGGGGGGTTAAAGGGGGGTTAGAGGGGGTCGTCTAATGACTGGGGGGTTAAAGGGGGGTTAGAGGGGGTCGTCTAATGACTGGGGGGTTAAAGGGGGGTTAGAGGGGGTCCTCTAATGACTGGGGGGTTAAAGGGGGTACTTTTCTGTTATATATTATACTATTTAAAACCTCTTTTGGGGGCGCCTGAGGAATTTCACTGACAAAATAATACTAACGTTGAAAGTGTACTCCTCATCGTCCATCTCTTTTATCTTGAGACAGTAAGCAAGATACTCAAACTTTGCGTTTGCGTACTTCTTAATAGTCAGTCTCATGTCAGGTACTGCTTTGTGAAGATAAGTTCCTAACTTGTTCATTATCTGAGGGGAGGGAGCTGGTTAGTGTACAATGTACAATGTACAGTGTACAATGTACAATGTACAATGTACAATTATCTGAGGGGAGGGAGCTGGTTAGTGTGCTTTTTGTGCAGATCTGACTATTCTGCTGTTTTCTGGCTAATTTTTTTCAGGTCATACATTTTTTAGATTTTAAATTATTGAAACTTTGTTTTTGGTTGAAGAAATATCTCTGAGAAGTTCTCAGAGAAGGTTGTCAGTGAGAACCATCAAAACTGCCAGAAACAATCGAAAACCCCCCTTTGGAACACATAAAAGTTTATTGAACAATGTATAATGTGTAATGTATAATGTACAATGAACAATGTACAATGTACGTACAGGTGCAGCTTTCTTCTGGAACTCAGTGCCAGCCTTGTGGTAGTTTCTGTGTGTGTCTGCGAATATAGTAAACGCTTCGTTAGCAGCACACTTCTCACGTACTGCAATCTGTGAGAATAGGTCCCCCATTCCTGGAGAGAGGGGGGTTAGAGGGGGGGGGTTAGAGGGGGGGTTAGAGGGGGGGGGGGTTAGAGGGGGGTTAGAGGGGGGGGGTTAGAGGGGGGGGGGGGTTAGAGGAGGGTTAGAGGGGGGGTTAGCAGCACACTTCTCACGTACTGCTATTTGTGAGAACAGGTCCCCCATTCCTGGAGGGAGGGGGGTTAGAGGGGGGGGGGGGTTAGAGGGGGGGGGTTAGAGGGGGGGTTAGAGGGGGGGTTAGAGGGGGGTTAGAGGGGGGGTTAGAGGGGGGTTAGAGGGGGGGGTTAGAGGGGGGTTAGAGGGGGGGTGGGGTACAACCCCTTACAGGAGGTAGTTTACATGATGGTTAGAGGGGGGGTGGGGTACAACCCCTTACAGGAGGTAGTTTACATGATGGTTAGAGGGGGGTGGGGTACAACCCCTTACAGGAGGTAGTTTACATGATGGTTAGAGGGGGGTGGGGTACAACCCCTTACAGCTTTTGAGCAATAAATTATGATCATGAATTAACCAGTAATCGACCGGAATTCCCGGTACCGGGAATCCCGGTACCGGGATTGGCAATTTTGAGCTATTCCGGTTCCGGTCCCGGTCCCGGTCAAGTCACATTTTTCATCCCGGTCCCGGTCCCGGTAAATTGATAATCTCAGTCCCGGTCCCGGTCCCGGTCAAGTCACATTTTGTATCCCGGTCCCGGTCCCGGTCCCGGTCAGGCCTGAAATCATGTCCCGGTCACCTCCTGATTTCGTCAACTACAATTCAAAATAAATGATTGATCCACTCATAAGAGCAAAAAAAGATTACCAGTAATTACCCTTTTCTGTAAACAAATTTTGTCTGTAAAAAATATTTTTCTGTCAAATTAAATTTTGAAAATTTGTTTTGATGAAGGAGCAAATTTGATATTTTACGATTCTGAGTCATTCTTCAAATATCGTATGTTTTGTTGTTATTTTGCTATTATGGTATATTATTTTGATACTTGTTTGATTTATTATTATTAAATATCAATATCAAACGTTTTTCCGTGATATTCCATTTTCAAATCAGCAGACAATTGCATCATAGAGCTGTCGGCAAAAAACTTGCCGATCAATTTTTTAACTTTTAAATATTTTTTTCTATCCAGGATGAGACCCAAATTTTCCATTCTTCTCGTTTTATTGGTAAGCAGTCTGCTTAATGCAGTACTTTGCACCGAAAGTACCGAAAAGTATGTTGAAGGAGTCCGTATCATTATTTCTGATAGAAGCTATGCAGCAACCTCTGGAAAGATAAGATTTGGAGTTCGACAGGGAGACAAGAGCTGTGAAACAGTTCGTGCAACGATTGACGCACCAGAGCGAAACGAAGAATACAGCGTACACAGAACAAGTAGTATTGACAAATTTGGCTCATGTCGAAATACCTTGTTTGATACTTTGAAGAAACTAGAGTTTCATGTGCTGTCTGACTCCTGGGATGATGCCTACTATGACATGGTAGCCATTCATTTTGATGGGATTTGGAGAGAGTGGAGCGGACATCAGATACTTCTTAACAAATATGGTGATGGAAGTGCTTGGCTTACTGCAATAGAAGGTGAGTTCAAACTATACAATGATATTTCTGATAACTTTCCTCGTCAATAGCTGTGTGTGAGGAATAACCTTACTTTAAATAAAACTATTTAATTTTATTAAAAAACTGAGCAAGATTCTATTATACAGTGGTTAGTGAGATAGTGAAAAACCAATTCTTTTAGATTTTGTCAGCGACTGCACAAACGTCAATGGTAATGACTTCAAAGGTACCAACATCACCTACGATACTAGAGCTGGCAAAGTTTACCCAGATAAACCTGATTCAGTTAAGTAAGTAGTAAATAGTAATGGCAATACGGGGGGATACAACGGTCATTAATGTGCATAAATGGGCATAAATGGGCATAAATGGGCATTAATGTGCATTAATGTATATGTATATTTCAGCAAAATTCTATAATACTGACATTAATGACCAGGTTTTTTTGCAATCCTTTCAAAATTTCGTGTAATACTTATTTTACAACATGAGGAGGAGAACTGGTGAGGATGACTGATGAAGAGCAAGGAAGAGGAGGAGGAGGAGGACTCAGGAAGAGGAGGGAGAGGAGGAGGAGGAGGACTGAAGAGGAGGAGGAGGAGGAGGAAAAGGAGGAGGTGGAGAGGGAGGAGGAGGAAGAAGCATCTAAATGTTATTTCCATTTTTGTCCGCCCTACTTGAAGGAGAAGGAGGAGGACTGATTATGATGAGGAGGAGGACTGACGAGGAGGAGGAGGAGGACTGATGAGATGTAAGAAGAGAAGAAGGATGACTGAAGAGGACTGCGGAGGAGGAGGAGAAAGACTGAGAAGGAGGAGGAGAAGGAGGAGGAGGTGGACTGAGGAGGAGGATTGAGGAGGACGAGGACGAGGATGAGGAGGACGAGGATGAGGAGGACGAGGACTGAGGACGAGGAGGACTGAGGAGGACTGAGGAGGACTGAGGAGGAGGACGAGGATGAGGAGGACGAGGACTGAGGACGAGGAGGAGGAGGACTGAGGAGGAGGACTGGTGAGGAGGAAGGAGGAGGAGGAGGAGGAGGAGGACTGAGGGAGGACTGAGGAGGTGGAGGAGTAGAGGGAGGAGGAGGAGGAGGAAGCATCTAAATGTTATTTCCATTTTTTGTCCGTTTTGGTCCGCCCTACTTGAAGGAGGAGGAGGAGGACTGATGATGAGGAGGAGGAGGAGAATAAGGAGGAGGACTGAGGAGGAGGACTGAGGAGGAGGAGGAGGAGGAGGATCAGGAGGAGGAGGAGGAGGAGGAGGAGGAGGATCAGGAGGATCAGGAGGAGGAGGACTGAGGACTGAGGAGGACTGAGGAGGACTGAGGAGGACTGAGGAGGAGGAGGGGGAGGATGAGGAGGACGAGGACTGATGAGGACTAGGAGGAGGAGGACGATGAAGACTATAGAGGACGAGGACGATTTTGAGGAAGAGGAGGAGGAGGACTGAGGAGGAGGACTGATGAGGAGGAAGGCAGAGGATGAGGAGGAGGAGGACTGAGGGAGGACTGAGGGAGGAGGAGGAGGAAGCAACTGAATGTTATTTCCATTTTTTGTCCGTTTTTGTCCGCCCTACTTGAAGGAGGAGGAGGAGCACTGATGATGAGGAGGAGGAGGCCCAGGTCAAGATTCATGTGAGATTGCGAGACAGGCTCATCGCACAAAATCTTAAAATAAACATAGAAAAAAATTAACAAAAGAATGTGTGAGAAAATAGAAAAATGTAATTTAAAAGATTTAAGGGGGGGGGCCAATGGGTATTTTTTTGTGAAACTTGATTTCGAGATAGCAGTTGACCAACAAACTAGGACCAGTGACCGAACTTTTGAGGGGGTCCCGGACCCCAACCGCCAAACGGTGCGCGCAGGGCAGCCACGCCCATATTTGGTCCAAATTAGGCCCAATTTAGCCAAATACCCTGTACATGCCCCAAACCCAGGTTTATGGTGCTCTACTTGTAGCTAGTGGTCTCCTGAACTCGTATATGAAATTTCATCAAGATTGGACAAAAAATGACTGAGTTATGAGCCAAAAACCATATGCCCATATTTGGGCATACGCACCAAATTTGGTAGATTTCGTCCCATAAATTGGTCAAATATCAATATTTTTGAATGAAACTTACTTTATATGAAAGGTAAGCCTAAACTACATATTCTCTGTAATTTATAGCTTTATATCTGTTTAAATGTGGATACTAAGGCGAAAAAACCACAAAAAATGAACTAAATTGCCCATATCTCGGTTCGCGATATTCGCGGAATTGATCTCACCAAAATTGTAACAACTCAATCAGTTTTCAAAATTTTTGCATGAAATTTTTGGAATCGACTCGAAATCGCATTTCGACCTTATTTTAAGAACGGATTTTTGATTTAGGCCTCAAAAAAAATTTGGCGGCCAAATTCCAAAATTATATTACAGAAATTCAGAATTTGGCCGCCAAATTTTTTTTGAGGCCTAAATCAAAAATCCGTTCTTAAAATAAGGTCGAAATGCGATTTCGAGTCGATTTCAAAAATTTCATGCAAAAATTTTGAAAACTGATTGAGTTGTTACAATTTTGGTGAGATCAATTCCGCGAATATCGCGAACCGAGATATGGGCAATTTAGTTCATTTTTTGTGGTTTTTTCGCCTTAGTATCCACATTTAAACAGATATAAAGCTATAACTTACAGAGAATATGTAGTTTAGGCTTACCTTTCATATAAAGTAAGTCTCATCCAAAAATATTGATATTTGACCAATTTATGGGACGAAATCTACCAAATTTGGTGCGTATGCCCAAATATGGGCATATGGTTTTTGGCTCATAACTCAGTCATTTTTTGTCCAATCTTGATGAAATTTCATATACGAGTTCAGGAGACCACTAGCTACAAGTAGAGCACCATAAACCTGGGTTTTGGGCATGTTCAGGGTATTTGGCTAAATTGGGCCTAATTTGGACCAAATATGGGCGTGGCTGCCCTGCGCGCACCGTTTGGCGGTTGGGGTCCGGGACCCCCTCAAAAGTTCGGTCACTGGTCCTAGTTTGTTGGTCAACTACTATCTCGAAATCAAGTTTCACAAAAAAATACCCATTGACCCCCCCCCTTAAGCGACACAAAAATTTGCTTAAGACTTTGTAAATTCGGAACTTAGTGCGGTGTGAGATCACGTGGTTAAAGTATAACAACTTTGCCGCGCGCAATTAGTGCGAGATTTTGACGAGTTTAGTATAAATCTCACCCCAATATCGCGAGTTTAACCACGAGATTTCGGCACCCTCTTTCAGCACTACATATCCGGTCGCGCGCTTACATTTTCATAATAATATTCCTCATCTTGCTGGTCCCTTCGTCTTTATCATCAAGCCGACTTTTTATGGTCATTGTACTTTTGGTATTGATTGTTTTGAATTATTACTGGTTGTGTTACTCTGAC